TCTGCGTGTACTTCATTTTCACAATATGCAAGTCGGGTTGGCCCAATGTGGAGCGCAGTGGTTTGGGACTAGCTTTCCATCTTGTCGAATTTTGTCGTACAACCGGTTTGTTCAATGACAAATAAAGCATTTTCCTTTATCAAAATCACCACTGGATCTAACCAGCTAACCTCTGCTGTCTCTTTGCTCACTCCTATGGATTTATAGTCTTAGAAACCCATATCAATGCCATTATGTGAACTGAAATGTGCTTGTGATGTAACTTTTCCCTCATCTGTTTCTCTCCATCTAAATGTTATTTTTCCTTTAACGTTCCACAATACTAGCCAGGCTGGTGCCACCTAGTGCCTCCGCTCAATTTCATTTCTCTCCAGCGACTAGGTCTGGAATCAAAATACATTAGACGGTTTGCAAAAACACTGGAAGTGCAAATCAACGAAGAGCCATGTATTCAGTGTTGTCAACAATTCCCAAGGATTTAAAGCCAGAATAAAGAGAATATTTGGAGAATTTCACCAAGGGGAATGACGTTATTGCCCTTCTTTCTAAGGGATTTGGGAAAAGCTTAATATACCAGTTAGCCCCATTAGCAGCGCATTACATACATCACAACCAAATAGCAGTGATTGGTTAAATGCTAAAAAGTATTCGCCTACCATTGAGCGAACAAATTCTAATGCTGCAAGGTCAGACAGTTTCCACGAAGTGAAACCGGCTGATGAATCAGGCTACCACAGTACAGCATTACTATTTATCAATGTAATGCTGTACTGTGGAACACTGTAGGCAAAGCAATGCCCACTTGCAGACCCTCCACCAGAAAATGTATATAGTAGACCTGTAGGTTTATTTTTTTATGAATCAGCAGCTTAAACATTTTATCATAATGTCTTGTTCAAATTGTGGTGGAATAGGATGTGTGTTTCCTAATTTAAGCATTTCCCTTTATCAATTTGAAAGTCTATTTTTCATCTTTCAGTCTAATTAATCTCAGACAAAGATCTGAACTCAACAGTAGCTTAGCAAAAACAAGTCTGTTGGAAGACTGTTTTGCTTTGATATATTTTTCATGACATCATCCTTTTGGCCCGGGTCAAATACAGGTGTACATGTTGTTTTGGAAACCCACTGTTCCTTTGCACAGCAGTCATTTTATCAATTCTGAGCAGCTATAAGGGATGAACTATGGCCATAGTGTGTGCGATCTCCCACTATGTAATAAATGTCTTGAATGGCATGTATGTGCACAGCCAAAACCACACTAAAGTTTCATAAGTGTCTCTTTGAGGGCTGCTGGTAAGGGGTCAAACCATTTTCCACTTTTGTACATGTGTAAAGATTTATAGTGACAACTCTAGCTATCTGGAAACCGTGAATCTCTCATCTGCTTCCCTTTAAAAATGAAAATAATAAAGGCACTTTATTTATTTGAGCCAAATAAATATTCCAGTGCTCTTAACCACAACCATTTTGAGCAAAACATTGGAGTTTTAAAAGAGCTTTGAAAAATGAAGTGTATGACACTACAGCAGCTCCGATATAGTCTTATTTGTTGCATTATTTCTATTTTTGGGTCAGGAAACTTAGCAGACCTTTAAATGGCTATGTTTTGTTCCGCTGCTGCTTGGAACTATATGTACAGAACACTCAAAATAGGTTCAGTCCAAAAGCAATTGAGGAGCTACACTCAGAGTAATTGCTACAAGCAGGGATTTATCTCTCTATATGTAAAATGGTGTGCAAATTAGCAAGGAATTCCAAAAATAACATGAACAACCTGGTTTGACTCGTTGTACAAAGAGAGAAAATGGCCTTTGCCTTTGCCAGAAAAAACAAGATTTATCAGAAGATGTGATATGTGTTTTCAGAATGTAGGTTTAGCTTAGGACGGCAAAGGAAGTGGTCAGGCCATGCTTAAAGCTTGAAGCACCTACTTTAAAAGTTTAAAAAGTTCCCCTCTACAAAAGGTTAGTAACTTTGTTAATGAACTGTGAATCAATAGGAGTTAAACAAGGTAGCCAGTGCACTTGAGAGCCATGTCCAGACATCACGTCAGTATGAATGTTTGCTTTTTTTTAAATGTTCAAGCATCTTAATTACACCAACCACTAAATCAGCGCTAATTGCATGACGTCAATTATTTTGCATATTGCCTTGTCTTACCTGCAGACTATCTTTGGTATTTAGAGACGTATTTTAGAGCATAATTTTAATGGGTTTGCTTACTTGCAACTGGATGGGCTTTGGGTGGACCAAACCCTGGGATAGATGATACAAAATGGTTAAATACTGATAAAAAAAAAAACTAAATAAATAAAAATTTTAAAAAACTACAATGGATAATGTTTGCCTGCAGATAATGTCCACATAGGAAGAGCTGGGAGACTAAATAAAACAAAACATAAAACTCTATTTGTAGTCTAATTACTTGTCTCCATGGGCAACATCTTTTTTTGATATTTTCTTTCCCACTTATTTCCACCGAGGTAAAGTCCATGTCAGTCACCAAAACGCTGAATCCACTACCACTTCAACCTTAACATTTTGCTTGTAAATTGTATTAAGCCCATGCCTTATGAAACTAATAGTAGCGTCTGCGTGTGTGATGTCATTTTATGCAAGTGGCTTATGTGGAAAATCCGAACCTGGGTCAGAACATGAACAAATAAACGCTCTTTGTTCACTCCACTTGTGCGGTTGTTAATTTCCTCTTAACTTGCACATATCGAGTTGTAGCCCGGGTGCTCCCATGTGTCATCAGTTCATCAGTATAACGTGTTGTGGCTTCTCTGTGACGCTCCGGCAGACTTGTGGTTTGGCTCGACCTGGGGCAGCTTGCTGTATTAGTGGCGGGTTTGGGCTGAAGGATGAGGCGCTGTGACTGGAATGAATGAAATCTCCCGTCCCTGCCTCTTTAAACAACCACTTAGCAAAGATTAACTACATGACCCTAATAGATTGTCTTAGTTATTTATTGCAGTTAATGTGCTCTACTGTTACAATGGAGGCTCATTCTTCACAAGGGTTTGGCTTTTATGAATTCTAAAGAAATCATACTCCCTGCTCTTATTAAAACTATTTATAATCCCATAGATGTGTCCGTCATTCATTTGGGCATTGTGTGTTTTGGGTCAAAGCTGGAATGTAGCTGAAACAGTGCACCTTTCTTGGCACGCTTTCCTCAGACAGGCAGACAGCACCAGTGCCCTTTCCTAATATTATTATTATTATTATTACACAATCCATATTTGAAAGACGAGGAGAAGCACTCAAACAACTCTCCATCTTTTATGGTTTTGTTCTTGTGACGAATGAGCTACTCTCTCTAATTTTAGTTTGGATCTTTTTATGAATCATTTTGTGAATTGTGTCCATATAAGATCAGTTTGAATCAGTGTATGCTCTGTAGTAGAAGAGAACTATGTGCATTCTTTTGGAAGCAAATTTCTTCTTTTGCCTGTGTAATTTGATCATAATTTAAATTTCTATTGAAGATTAAATGTGTGATCATGCTAGATATTATGGTGTAAAGGGATGATCTGCTGTGATGAATACCGGCTCGAACGTCCCCCTGGCTTTGTAACTCCCTATATGCCGCCCAAGAGAAGGGGGCGCCCAGATAACTGCTGTGCCTGGGAGAGGGTGGGCGTTCTTGCCGGCCTTTAGTATTTGATGTATTGAGTTAGAAAATCAGCATTCTATATCATAATAAAATGAAATGTGAATGTAGCAAGACCAAATGTCTGGCTTTGTTTATGTCATTTTACCGATCTTCCCAAACTGAGGCAATGTGTCTCAGTGGGTAAACTATTTTGAGGAGTGAATACACATGAGAAATTGACAGACTATACATAAAGTGTGTGCCTCACTTGTGGACTAGTCCTGAGGAGTAAATTGACACTGTATTTACTCTATTTGTGCGTGCTTGAGACCCCACATTTTTGCATGTTTTGTTTGTATTTATGAATAAATGTGTTGAGATATATTGTAACTTGCCTGTGTAATTAATACAATATATAATGTGTATATATATATATATATATATAGAGAGAGAGAGAGAGAGATTAACTAAGTTTCATAAAGGGTACAATTTAGGGGGACTTTCCAGTTTGGGCACTTTCCAGCCAGGGGGACTTTCCAGCTGATTTCTGCTGTGATTGTTCATTTGAAGTGATGAAGATGGAAGGTCCCACATTACTCAAAATTGTCTCTTGTGAGCCATGTTAAAATGGTATTACCTCATCAAAAACATACCTGGAGTTGTGTTTTGTTTCATTCACATATGTTTGAGTAATTCTGAATCATTAGCCCGTCTACTTCTCTAAAGCTCAAAATGATGTGTTCCACCTTATGATGTCACAAAGCAGTAGTTTTCACGTTAACGGCTCCTTTTAGCTTTTGTTTAGTAGAGATTAGCAATTCCAGGTCTGAAATCACCGAAGTGATTCTAGTGAAGGTGTATGGTGTTTAAAAACAGAGTGGAACACTTCCTGTATTACCACATGACATCACAAGATAGAACAGAGCGTTTCTGTCTGAGAGAAGAATGCAGGCTAAATATGCAGGATTTCTGTGTTAAACATGTGTCAATGAAACAAAACAGAAGTCCAGGTCTGGTTTGGATGAGGGAACAACATTATAACACAGATCAAAAAATAGCTTTTTATGGGCCCTTTAAATAATTAAGGGTATGAAACATGTTATACTTAAGGATAGGGTTAGAGTTTGGACAATGGTTTGGGCCCGTTAACAAGTTGTAGCGTAGCAGTAACTTTAAAAAGTCCAGTCTAGTCTATTATAGGAATGGAATATGTATCAAATATATATTTTTGAGTCAGGATACATTGTAAACTCTGGCCATAACATGACCCTGAGCTTGACCTGCATGAAAGATGTCTACTGTTGTCGGGTATTTGTGACCATAATGTTTTGTATTGAGATAACATGGACAGAATTCAGATTTGGCTACATTAATCTTGGTTCTCTCTCCCTCTCCTCAGGAAGGCGGGCTTGATCCTGTCCCAGCTGAACGAGCTCTCTCCATGGTGTAAGGGACTGCTGCAGGAGCCTAAGATCGGCCTGCGCAGGATGTCTCTGAAGTTCCTGTCGTGTCGCTACACAGACAGTAAGGCGTTTGGGCTCAAGTGGTCTGAGATGGGCCAGGACGTGCATAAGGCCTGTGATGAACAGACTCTCACAGTCATGTACAATGACTATGGAGAGCCCAAAGAGCTCTAAATGTCACATATACACTGTTTACGCACAATGGAACCTGGAGATAAATGTAAGGATGGATAGAGGCACATTTTCATTTTACACAATTAAAACCTGTAGAATTGCTCCGTAGAAGATGTATTTGAAAGAATAAAGCTGAGAAATAAGGGTATGTTTGAATATTGTTCAAGTAGGGTTGAATTCAAAACATTTTAGAGTGAATACTTTTGCCACTTATCCAAGTAGCTTCTTCAGTTCTGACCAAGTTTTGGTAAGGGACCGCCTTAAATATCTGCTCTAACTAAATGGAAACTAACATATCCTGGTCTTTTTGTCTTTTATGTCATGATAACACATTTTGAGGTTCGATATATTGCTGAAGAAATAATAACAATAATACTGAATGTCATTGTGCCTCTGACACAACAACCCTAAAGCAGGATCTCTCCAAAAAACTATTCTATTGTATACAATATTGTCAATGAACATGTCAATGAGCTGAGTCTTAGACGTTATGTATTCAGTCCAATACAGCTCAAATCTGATCATAGTACAGAAAAAAATAACACAAAGTTCCCCTCTAGTACAAAGAAAATGTACTCACAATAAATACTGACTCCAAAAATAATTGTTCCATCTATAGTGTGTTGAACTGTAAGTCGATATAGCAATTATTGTGACAGGCCTTACAATGAGTCAAAAAAAAAAAAAGAGTAAAAGTTATTCGCCTGTTATTCATCCGTTGTTCTACCCGAAGCTGTGAACTAGTCTCCTTGACCCTTCTCTAAAATGCTGAAGGTAAAACAGATGCTCTAAAGAACACATTTGAATTGTTTTCTTGTCTGCCCAACATGAAAATCTCCTCTGTCTGTCTTTGCAAACATCACCCACAAACAATTCAAAAACAGCATTATTTGTTGAGCCAGCTTTGTAAAGGAATGTGTTATATGTGAAAAGCTATTTTATTTTGCTTTAGTGGATTTTTACATGCAGTAACTCTTCCGAACAGTCCAATGATTTAGCGACTTTATTGACCTCTTTAGTGTAGAGATGCTTTTTAGAAACATGCACTTTTGGCTATTGTTGTTTTACATTTGACTGATAGAAAAGGTCTGATGAGGGTAACTATTACATTAACTCAAAAAAAAGCCTGAACAAGGAAACGCTGTATACTATAAACACTGTAAATAATAATTGTACTAAAACAATTTATTGAATGTAGTATTCAATGTTTTGCATTTATACATTTAAGAAGTCATTATGCTAACAGTATTCAAGTTTACAGACATTGAGCTTTGCCCTTTGACTACAGCATCTATCTGTGTTGATTATATGTGAGTTTGTTCAGTTATTTTTGTCCATATAATGCCGATGAAAACAATGACTAAACTGGTGCATTATTTATTGTTTTATTTTGCAGTCCTTTGTAAACTGAAATGCCGTGCTTGTAGATTTTGTATAGACAGCAAAGAGCAAAGGCATCACGTTGTATCAGTGTTTACTCTTGTACATAAATGTGTTTAATACGGTGAGCTTACAAAATGACAATACTGTAACTATTCTAGTAGATTTCTCTGTTGTAATGCCCATAGAAGCCACAAACCTACATGTGATTTATTCTAGAAATTGTTGAAAATAGGAGTTTTTAAGTAGCACACTGCAGCTCTTGAATTGCATGACAAATGGTCTTTAATGTATCTGACTGGTAGTGGCTTTTTCACTTCAAAAATAAAAAAAAAATAAAAAATATTGGTGAATTTGTTTTGCTTTTATGTGTACTATGTGTTGCTATTTTCCTTTAAAATGTCCATATTAAGCTTTTTCTCATCAAAGTTATAATGCTTTTTCCTCTATGGAGTAAGAAAGTTATAGAACAAAATGTCTGTGTGCATAGTAATTAAGTCTTTATTTATATAGTGCTTTTCACAGACATTTTTTGCCCCCAAAGATGCTTTACAGAGCATTATTCAGCATTATTCATTCATTCTATACCTGGTGATGGTAAGCTACTATTGTAGCCACAGCTGCCCTGGGGCAGACTGACAGAAGCGCGGCTGCCATGCGGCGCCATCGGTCCCTCCAACCACCACCATCACTCACTGACACACCACTTTCATACTAGGCAATGTGGGTGAAGTGTCTTGCCTAAGGACACACAATGATTTAATTGATTGTATTTAACTGACCTTGACTATCAACTGTTCTGGAGACCTATGTAGCATGTTTTGGGTAGAAAGGATAGAAATCCATGCGTATTTGGCTGTAGTTGAGCATAACCTAAATATCCGTAAACTCTCTAATGAGTCCAGTTGTAGATAAAATGTGTTGTGTGTATTTTATCCATCACAATGTGAATTGAAAACATGGTATTATATATAGTCCTCCTGGATCAGTCCTATCAGTCTAGGTTCAGTCTTGGTTCAGTACTGGTTCAGTCTGTCTGCGGTGCAAAAGTCCGGCATCTCGATCGATGGTTCTTCTGCTCATTAAATAATGCCTGTGAAGTGAAGACGTATATTTGACAGTCGAGTCGCATCTGTGAATTCGTATTCGTACTGAAGAAAGCATAATTGTAAATTTTCATTTATTTTAATTCTTGATGTCGTAACTTTTCAATTCGTATTCTGATGGATAAAATACACACAACACATTTTATGTACGACTGGACTCATTCAAAAGTTTATGAATATTTATTTTATGCTCAACTACAGACAAATATGCACATATTTCTATCCTATGCACACAAATATTTGTGAATGCTTTCTTACTCCATATTCCTTGTCAAATATGTATCTGGAGTTGTGTTTTGTTTCATTCACAGATCCTGCATATTTAGAGTTCTTCTCTCAAACAGAAAACACTCTGTCCACCTTACGATGTCAAGTGATAATACAGGATTTGTTTCAGTTTGTCTTTAAACTCCACACACACCACAGAATTATCAGGATCACTTCAGCCCTGGAATTGCCAATCTCTACTGAACAAAAGGTAAAAAGTAGCTATTAACTTGAAAACTACAGCTTCATGAGATTACAAGATGTGGACAAACTAATAAGAATGGGTTGCTCAAACATGTGGGAATGAAACAAAACACAGCTGCAGGTATTTTGAGGAGAAAACAACATTTTAACATGGCTTAAAGCTCACAATAGTCAATTTTGCGCAAAATAGGACCTTTAAACCACCAGGGTGTATTTCCTAGACTGGATCCAAAATGCAAGACAATTGTATGTATTTGGTGTTGGATTTTATTTAATTACATCATTTATACATGTACAAAACCCAGAAGCCATTTTCAAATAATACACAGTAATTCAACAGACAGGACAGATAACTATGCATTTTTAAGGACTGGTAGAAAGCAGCTTTTTATATACCTTTTTATTGAGTTAAATAGTACATAAAGAATAAGATAAGCTGTGTTGACTATTTCTTTACCGGTGAAAAGCATTCAGAAGTGTTTTAATAATGACAACATGAGTGCATACCTCCTTAATACAAACAGGAAAAATGCACAGATATGAATGGATGATAAACTGTGATATGTGGACACTATCTGAATTAACAAGACATATTTTTATGTTAACTACACCTTCATTATTCTAGATATTTGCTGCTAGACTAAAAGCTACTATTGAGAACACTGATAAATAATATACAGTTGAACCTATATGAGCGTTACTAGCGTCATGAGGTAATATTTGTGATTTTTTTAAATGTCGTCTCCTTCAGTCACTTGTCTTTGGTTTTTCAGTGACAAGCTTCTCATTCCCTTAATAGTCATTTGATTTGTGCGGTTGGCTTTAGGCACTGCCAGTTCCTTTTGGCTTCTTCATTTTCAAAGTGTTATGAGTCACATATATTACATTCAAATGCACTACAATACTTCTCTTTAATAGCACTCAGACTGAATGTTAAGGGAAGGTTTTGTCTCTCCTTAAATGAAGTATGTGTAGTCACTGTCTCTTGGAGGGAAAAGTTGTTATGTAATAATGAGGTGGAAGTACTCAATTGCATAAACAGATAAAAAAAAAAAAAACTTAACATTTTTGCCTAGAAAACATAAACTCAACGTAAAAAAAAAAATATATATATATATATGTAAAAAAGAAATTTAGCTAAAATATTTTGGGAATTGTTCAGCTAAAACTATACTTTCCAGATTACATAAATATGAGTATTTTATGTATGTGCAAAGATCTACTTGGTAAAAAACAAACTATATTTCCTTAAAATGAGCATTGTAGCAATTAATGTATTTTCTTTTAGAAGTGATTGTTTGAATTGTATTACTTCCACCTCAAACTGTGGTCAGGAAACAAAACTAAATTGGACAAGATAATACCCTTTAGGCTATTACTAAAGCAGGACCTTTCATTCAGACAGTGAACCACACTTAAGAAGGACTTTTCCCATAATTTTACACAATTCCAGTATCACATCTTGTATGACTTCAATGGCTTTCTTTGGATCGAAAAGTGAAACTGTACAAATCGGATATTTGATGTTTGTTTGTTGTGGTTGTTTCTTCTTTTGCCTTGTCTCATTCTTCCGTCAGTTAGCTCCGCCCCCCTGTGAGTGCTTGGCCTGACTCTTGTTCTCCTCGGCGTCTGGGTCTCGACAAGTGCACTCGTCCTGATTACAGTCCGCTCCAAACTGGATGACCTGCGGTGAACAACACAGCAATAAGCCCTGGTCACAAGGACATTTGACTGTGTGTTCTGGCGGCTTCAAAATAACTCCTCAATGTCAAAGTTTACAACAATAATGACATTTTCTAGTATTAAAGAAGCGTAATATGTTTTGTGTGGTGAGTGGTTAAAGCTCTCTTTCACCAACGCAAATAACAGCGGTTCATATCCCCCTTTGACCAGTGCATGTTGTTGTATCTCTTGGCAAGACACTTTTGTCAGGATGTGGTGTGAGTGAGTGAGTGATTGGTGGTGGTCGGAGCTGGAAGATTGGTGACTGTATTTATGTCAGTCTACCATCCTCACTGAAGTTGCTTACTGCTAGTGAAGTGAATGAATAATGACTACAAAGTAAAGAGACCTGTTATTATTCTTCAGCATTAGTTTAGAAATCATTTTCTCTACTGTCTTGGCTAAACAAGAACAAGTCTGTGAGTCCGTGTGCTGAGTTTGAGTCTAAATGAAAAGTACAATGGCAAATTTTTAGATAAAATATAAAAACATACAAGTTATTTGATATAGTGGAATAGTCCAAGATGTGAAGCAGCGATAAAAAGATGGTCTGTAAAGAAGTACATCTTTGTCCGGTCCTTAGTAATGGATCTTTTTATGAAGAATGATGGGTGGTAAATGCATAAAGGTAGCTGATACCATCTGCCATGGACTACTTAACCCAGTGGTATGCTTTGGGGTAAAGTGGTAGTGAGATCAAACGTCACAGTTCTGGTTACAGCGCTGAGATCAAGAGGAAGATTTGTTAGTTTGGTGCAGACGCCAGGAGCGGATCTTTGAATGGCAAAAACAGAGAATCAAAAACAAATTTACTTGGAGTGACCTGACGGCTACTGGACAACATTGCCCCCACCGGCCCACTGAGCGCTGAAAGCTAAGTGCCGCTTAGTAACTCAAGCATGCTCTTCGAAGACTTGTATTTCCTCACAGTTTCAAAGCGCAGTCCAACAGCCCCCCGGAGGCCGATAAAGCGCATGATGTCAAATGGTTCGACGTGGCCTTTTGAATGGAGAGAAACCTTGAGGGTCTTGAGGGGGAAGAGAGAGAGGAACGCACCACCGCAGAGGTGAACGGATGAACACATGTTAAGAATCAACAACAAGAGGCTGCCAGCTCTGGGCTAGGAAGAGAGCCATCACCACAGGCTGCAAAATAAACTCCAGTGCCCCGCAGTCTGCTGCAAGAAATGTAAACACCACTCCTTTAGTCCAGAGAAGAAGAAAAGAGAACCAGAGAACGAGTAGGCACTGTAGAAGATGCAGGGCTGGGATTTAACATGCACTGACATTTCTGGGTTTTTTTTTGTTTTGTTTTGATTTTTTTGTTTACACAAACAAACATAATAAAATAATAAAACATTTTTGCTACTTTAAGGAAGTTTTTAGACAAGTATTTCTATTAGTCTATTGCATTTAGATCTTTTGATTGGTTTCTAATCTCAAATCCACTCAGAGGTAATGAAGGAAGTGCCATTTACCCAGTTTCTCCATGATCAAACCAAGAAATGATCAATTCCAAGTTTTACTGAGATTGAGAGATAGAATGTGATGTTTTAAATCTTCCATCAGATTTCATTAATCACAGTGCAGCAGCAGGGGTTGGTTTTATTACTGACACCCTGCAGCCAAGTTGTTGGCTCATCTCAAAAGCGTTAGGATTAACTGCCTGTTTATAGCAACATTTTTGAAAAGAGAATAGGGCTGATAAAAATGCACCAAACTCTCCCCTCGTACCTCTTACCATTATTTTACTGGTTTGGCCTTTTGTGAGTCCAAAATGAAGCCAAAATCCAACAAATCAAATGAACATTGTGCTTCCATAGATGGCTGGGAAAGACACATCACATGAATCCTGCTTCTATCATGAAACTGCTTTTAACTTCTTTTCTTGTCAGCTTTAATAATTCTTTCCTTCATCCTTTTCCTGACTTATGTTCTGAACTATTTAACAATTCAACTAAACAACTAGATGACTCATTCAAAATTAAAATGTATTTAAGTATTTTGAAGAAGGTCTAACGGGACTAAAAAGAGTACACCAAGATGTTACACAGACAAACAGATGGTGACAACAGGGCAAGTTACAGGGCACATCTGTGGAGAGGCAAGCACACTTACAGTAGGAATGAATGTTTTTCAAATCCTGCACTTGAATAAATGTAAGATAAGCAAGTTAGATTCCAAACTGTGGAACATTTGTAATAAAATCCTCATGCAAATGAGCAGGTTGCACAGCTACATGCAACTTTAAAGTTTTGCATACTTGTCATTCAAGTAGAATCTGTACATTTCACTCTTGTCAATTATCCCTTAAAAGTGCAGCCAGTTATATCTGTATCTCAGATTTCTTTATGTCCGCTTTGGGATAGAGCTCTGCCAGTAAAATGCTCTAGTGTACAGTTTGTACAGAGGCCCTGACCCCTGCTTTCTAGTAATTATTCATCCTGTTCCTCTCATCCACACATAACATATACAGCAATCACACACAGCAATTAGGGAAACATGATACGGCTGCATCTTTCAGCAAACACAAATAAGCCGACCACACAGAGCTTGTTAGATGTATTCAAGACTGCACTGTAAAAACTACAAATATTAGCTGGTATTTTTGGCTGACAAGTGAACATGGATAGAACTCTATCTGTTTGCCTGTCTGTCCACAAACTCAATATTAATTTCATCCTTAAATACAATAATTCATTTTTTGCTGGCAGTACTGTTAGTGACTACGACTAATAAACCTGGAATCTAATATATTATAATGTTAAGTTCATGGGGGAAAAGCTTGGACCAATAATATAATTGTACTATAACCTACAAAATTAGATGTTCCTCTTCTCCTCTTTGATTATCACCAAACAAAATAGATTAAACAAATTTTCACACAATGACTGCATGCTTTTCAAGTTAACTTTTTAACATGGATTCAAGTTAATGCTCCTCTGCATAACTTTTTAGCTAAAACGATAAATAAATAAAATAAATGTCTCCATGGAAATGTTGTTCCTTTGGCTATAATATTCCACAGTATGGCATAAAACATATCTGTCTTCATTATTGTTTTAACCTTACATTTCCACAGAATATAACATATAATGTGCCAAATCTAGAAAGTTATGTTACTTTAAATACAAGCAAAATATTGTATTTGCTTCTCCATTCGAAATACTCCATTCGAAATAATCTCATGTATTTCCTTATATGTACAAAGTCTGTGTCTCTGCTACTTAACTGTATCAAGTTCAGAGCGGCAGAGCAAATCCAAAACATGAGAGAGGTGAAAGTGTGCGGCGGACGGGGTGGTGAAAATCTGCTTATTTACAATTTGAGTGGAAAGCTGGAGGGCACAAGTCTCCTGTGTTGTTTTAAGTAGAGACGAGGGCCCAGTCGTTAACAGCAGCCAGAGGAAAGGAGCAGGGATTTGTGTTTGTTTGTTTAGAACTGGTCTCCTGTGTAGCTCCACTGCAGCCTCGCCAAAGACTGACTTCTACTACTGTAAACAGGAAGGATCTGACTGCAACATCCAGGCCCTCCGCTCAGTGTGAAGTGTAAGCCAACAGACATTTAGCCGTGTTTAAGTACAGATGTGAGTGGATAAGTGGGGTCACTAACACTTTATGATAACTACACCTCAATTAGCTATAATAAAAACATGAAGAACAAATTGTTTATTAAGAATGATTCAGGTTTAGGAACTATTTAATCAAGGGATTAGGTTACTTTATTTGCCGTTTGTAGTTAAAAATGGGAAAACATGCAAAAATAACACTGTAAGAAGCACACATAAACAAACCAGGGGCATACTACTAAGAAAGTGTAGGGAGGGTTTTGATATTAATGACGTTACTAAGCCTGAACCCTTCTTAATAAACTAAGTCTTTGTTCATATTATATTATATTATTACTTGTATAGCTGTATGGATTTTTTCACAGTATGGCACTAAACCTTTCTATCTTCACGGAGACCAAATAATGCCACGTTACAGGTCAGATCTGTGGAGAGAATGCCTGTTTTTTGAGCAATAAAACCATCTGTGATTGAATAAACGTAAAGTAGATGTGTTTAATGTCATTTATTCCAAGCAGAGCAATGGCATAAAACCAAAAAGTTGCACAGTGCAGCTTTAAGTGTAGTTATTCTAAGTGTTCCAATGTGTTGTAATAGCGTACCTTTCTGCTGGACAGTGTGGACGGGCAGCAGTCTCCTCCGTCGTATTGGCAGTAAGCGCGGTTGTTTATCGTGTCACACCATCCGTCTCCTCCAAAAGGCTGCAAAAAAACAAACAGCATTCGGTGAAGCAAACAGATGTGTGCAGTATTCAGTGCAATTGTACAAAACTGCATTGGTACAGGGTAACTTTTAGGTGCATTGTAGCTTTTTTAATGGGGCCTGCTACCGTCTTGTCACCACGGAGATGTTTTAGCCTCAGCTATAATATTCCACGATAAGGTATGAAACTTGCCTAACTTGCTTTTATTCAAACATAGATGTGTTTATAGCTAAAAATAAATGTACATAAAATAAGACCTTAAAACACTATTTCTCGACTCTAATGTTCAATATCGTGGAACATTCTAAGCAAAGCAATAACATCTCCCCGGACACAAACAATGTAACTGAATCTAACCCATTTTTGATTGGAGAATAACACTCTAACTAGGGGTGTGCAAAAATATCAAAATATCAATATATCATATCGTTTATTGTTATTGTTGTTATATATCATATCGTATTGTTATTGTTTATTGTATCGATATCGAGGACTGCTGTATCGATATATCACCAAGAGTATTTTTGGGTATATTTCACAAAATCATTTTGTTACAGCGCTACAGTTTTGTTGCTTGTTTAGAGGAAGGAAACTCATTTATGCAACACATTTGAGATTTTCACTGTTTTGATGATTAAAATGTTTGTGTTTCATATCCAATTTGATCAAGAAGTGGTTTAACAAAGACTTTTAGTATCATAGCCATGATTTTGCCTTTATTTTTTAGTGAACTGTATCAAATCGATTTGAAATATATTGTATCGAACCGAAAGCTCACTGTATCGAAATATGCATCATATCGTGGCCTTTGTATCGAGGTGTGTATCGTATCAGCAACTTCTTAATGATACTTTATATTGAGGGGTTGTTGGTTTAACTCTTGGTTTAACTCTTAAACTCTTAACTTTGAACTTCAAATGAACAGTTTGACATGAATTTGTATGTATAGTGAGTGTGCTGGTTTTATGTACTTTTGTGTGACTGTTGTTATACTTTTCTCTGTCCTTTACATCAATTTGCCAAGGGACTGAGATGGAAATTAGCCACTCTGGCTATAATCTTAATTTTTTTTAATGTTCATTAATATGTGCTGTCCCTTTACAAATAAATAAATAACAAATAAGAAATAAGAAAAATACCCAGCCCTAATTCTAACCCACCAAACAAGATGGATACGCTTTCAACATGAGTTTCCATCTTTAACCAATATGTTGTTTGTTTGTTTAATAATTGAGGAATAATGTCATCATGAGGACCAGTTATTTGTACACATAAGGGCAGGTCCCCATATTGTGAGTTTGTACACAGATTTTAGTCCCTACAAAGTGATAAATACCCAGCCACCCATATTTCACCTGGTTACTCCTGACCCTTAGCCTTAGCCCCTTAGCTTTTCACGCATAGAGCCAGTAGCTGTCTTCCCAAAGGGTTAAGTGGCTCTGACATTGAGTCGTATGTTTTATTGTGGGGATTTCCTCTTTGTTACCAACACATTACAGACCTCACAGTGGGCCACAGGAGAGCCGTTGAGCAGGTCATGGCTCACGTTGAGGTTAATTAGGATTTACATTGCTTCCCAACCGCGAATACCAGGCTTTGAACTCAGACGCATACATGCATGAAGACCGTTAAAGCAGCGAGAGTTGGCTCCGCACCTCTGTCCCTACAGGGCGTTTAAAAGGTCAGCCGCTCTATTACTCTATATAGTGGCTTCTTTCAAAACCACTGGTGAAGGCAAACACATGTACAATGCATCAGGCTACCAGAAAATCACTGCTTTCTATTATTGGGATCAGTGATTTTAACTTCTCACTGATACTCTTTAATGTGTTCATCCATAAAAGTATAAATTAAAATCAGTGGTGGAAAGGAGCTACTGACTGAAAATTTGTAAAAGTGAAGTCACACGGCTAAAATGGCTAGAAAACTGCTGCAGAATTAAAATGAAATATATAAAGTACACGTAAAAAATACTACTCAAAATACCAGTTACCTTTTCATGGAATTTTAGAACAAAAAAATTAAACTCTGGCCAATCAGAGCAGATGATGCAGTGCCGTTATTTGTGTTTATCCATTTAGAAAGGATCAGAGACAGAGGTGGGACAGTTCTGCACTTGAACGATTAGGACTTGCTGTACTCTGTTGACAATTCCTATCATTTTAAAAGTCTACCAAAAATGTATTTCCCTAAAAATACAGTAACATGAAGACATCGCAAATATTTACATTATTAATTTTCTTTTGGCGTCTCCTTTTCTTGGAAGCCGTCCTCCACTCATGATTAATGTGATTCATTCACTCAGTTAGTTTAGATTACTGATTTAATAGTTCCTAATAACATTTCTGAACAAGATTAATAATTATACATTTTTATAATTACATTTCGACCTGGACTTCAATTTGAGAATGTCATATTCTTGAAGCTACAGTGGGACAAATTTTTATTGCAAATACAAGTGGAGGCTTACATACTTGAAATAACTGTCTAGAAAAAAAAGATTTATGTCAAATATAAATGTCAGAGCATAATTAACATAGCGATATCACATGATCAGTAGCTTCCACTTCGAAATAAATGCCTCTGGATCACTCAGTATATTCACTTAGGAGGGAGCATAGCCTTAACATTTCGGATATTGGGGAAGCGATGTTGTAATAAAACAGAATCAGTAGCTGGCTCTCTGACGCTTGGGCTGCCATTTCAGTGATTTATCAAAAGATTGGACGCGAAGCTCACACCCAAGGGAGTATGTAAGGGGAAAGCGCAGGCATGGCATCTGGAGCAGATCTGGCCCGGCGCAGAGGCAGCACATGTGGTCGGTTGAGATAATTTACAGCGCCGTGTCAGGCCGCTTGGTCGGGAGCAACTCTATCGCCATAGCAACATTCACGGGAAGGTGGAGAGGGAAAATGCAGAGCTGGCACGGACCATCAGAGCTTTAACACTCAAAGACATCAACAGTTTATGTGTTCCATTGGTAAGTCCGGTCTAGTCCAAACGCAACAAGGAAATGCCAAATGAAATAGATCTGGATTCATGGAGGTTTGTGTTTTTAGATTAAGCAATTATGTGTTTTAATCTATGGGAGATTAGTGATTATTGTTTGAAGAAAGCCAAAATACACGCTCTTGCTTGGTCTCAGTCTAAATAATTAATTAGTAATACAGCAATTAGTTTATTTGACATAATGACCCTTTTTGTGTATTTGACTTCTAATAGCAAGGAAATTATGGAATTGCAGTTGCTTATAAGGTTGTAAATGTTGTGTACAAGTGGGCTGAGTTTGAGAATTTTCAACATAAAAACAAATGCATTCCTTGAAATTTTAATATGGTTTAGTGGTGGATGAAGTACTTTTATGTTACTGTTATTTTGTAAGTAAAAGCACAGATACAGGGGCAAAATATCACTCAAGTAAAAGTATGACATTAAAAAACTAGAACTATTAAAGTACCTGTTTAAAAAGTTAAAGTATTTTGCAGAGATTTTTAAAACAAAGATTAAAATGTAGTAATTCTGATAAAGAATGTAGCTTATTATAAGAGAATTAATGTCTTTATTTTTGTGTATTTGTGTATTTGGTTTGCTCAAAGTTGGGACATTAACTCAAATTAAATGTGCTAAAAAATAAGTAGCAGGTCTCAAACCATAAAGAAAAGTACTTTTTTCTTCAGTCCAGATCTAAAATGGAGGAGAAAGTACAAATGTAGTGTAGTAAAAGTAAAAAGTATCCACTGTAAAAAGTACAGATACCTAAACATTTTACTTAAGTATTTAACTTTTGTACTTAATTACATTCCACCACTGATATAGTTAAAGAAATAGAGAATAGTAAAGACGTCTGAAAGGTTAAGGTCAGCTGGACAAAATTTTAACTTCTAATAAGATAAGATAAGATAAGATAATCCTTTATTGTCTCCCATGGGAGAAATTTGTCTTAGGACAGGGGGTAACATGTTTTATCAAAAAACAGGACAACACAACACAAAGCAGCACATAAACAAACACCATAAAACAAATGTAATAATAAAGAATGAATTAAACAAATATATATGTATAGTATGTTTTAGATGTGAGCATGTTTCAAATATTGATAAGTGAAATATTGTTGCTGTATATTATTGTATCAAATATTTTTTATAACCTCAATGAACCGATCCACAACAAATCAATTTCAAGGACACATTTTTCACGTCTGAGCCTCATATTTCTGTTTTTCGGACAGGTGCCATAGTATCAACAAAATGGATGCTCCACGCTTCACCTTCACCTGACACAACGGGCTGAGTGATGGTGCATATTTCACTGTGATATGGACTGTGAAAAGATAAATAAACTCTCATCTGTCAGACCCTGCGTTTTTAGATTTGTTGGCTTGGTATAATTCGTCAGAACTAATATAGAAATTCCTAAAATTTCTGACAGAAATAAATTAGACTATATATAACGTGGCATATTTTTGGTCTTTATTTGGCCTTGAGTGCTCACACTTACCTCACATGACTGGATACAATGGATGTGCTGAGGGTCAGGGAACCACTTCATCATTCCTGTGCACACGATGCTCTAAAAAGAAAAAGAAGAAAAAAAGAAATAAATTATAGTAATAAATGAATAATACATTATTTCAGAAACATGATGATTTAATCATTATTCACAATTATTGACAAAACAAAACAGAGTGAAATTCTTAATTTACTTTCATTCCCAGCGTCTCATACAATAAATATTTACCAATTCTGCCAAATGTTTTATTAAATCAAAAGTTCCGAATGGTAAAAGTGAGTTAAAGTGACATGTAACAGCCAGATAAAGCCATTAGCCAAACATCAGGCTTACTGGGCAACAGTATTTCAGTGTTGCTCCACTGGTTCTAAGGTTGGCAGTTCAAATTCCTCTAGATAGATGTCATTGGTAGAGCCAATGACAACCACTATTCCACTGGTTGGTGTGATTCCAGATCCCACAGATGAATGCCAATGGTGTGTCTTGCCCAAGGACACTTAACACTTAATACACCAGTGTGTGTGAACAGGCGAGTGGTTCCTTGATGAAAACCACTTTGAATGTGAATATTTATCATGCCAATTTACTTTTTTGGAGTCTAGATTGATTTGATTCTACTGATTGTTTTTCAAATGGTCACAATAATATTTGTAATTCTTTATATTGTGACCTGAATAATTATCAGCTATGGTAAAAACGTGATATCAGTGTTTCTCACAATAAAAGGCACTTACATCTAACAATGTTCGATAGACAGAGGCACAATTCGACAAATCCTTCATACCACACAGTACTAATGAGGTCATGCGTGGGCGTCTCTTTGCCCACATTTGATCAGTGGCATGACTGCGGTCGATGGCCAATGGTTGACTAATAAAAATGGGAAGAGAAAGCTGACCCTCCCCAGTGGTTTCCTGTGCAACGTGACCCAGTGATTGAGACCTGATACTGAAATATTTGCGATAACATGATGCCCAGTAATCACAGAGTTGTGGCAAACACATCCATCAACTATTTGATCTCAAGTGGAATACAGTAGAGCTGGATTCATGAAGGGTTATGATTTTAGATTTAGAAGCAGTTATGTGTTTTAATCCATGGGAGATTTGTTTAGGCAGACAAACTGCATGTCCCCATTAGGTCTCAATCTAAATAATGCATTAGTAATATAATAACTGTGTTTACATAACAATCTATTTTTAGTTATCTGCCTTTCAACACAAACACCAAGGATTCTCTTTTTATTTTCATTCCTACTGTTCGCAAAGGGATTGCAATCATGTGTGATCATAATTGTTGTGTAAAAGTTTGTTTAAAACACTTCACCATAATAAAAATGTCTTGCTTCAAAGTTTAATACTGTTAAAGAAAATGTTTCTCATTTTTCTAAGGTTATGGGTGCACTGTGAAACTTGTCCAGTGGAGGCTTCACTGCCTGTATGGTGTTTTTGCTTTCCCGGGAATGTTCCAGAATATGACATTAAACCTAACTATAATTTATTTCATTACACATGTTTTTATATTGCTCAAAATACTTTTAAAAATATGCATTCTTGCTGTGAGCTAACTCGCCTCTCCACAAATCAGAGCTATAACTTGGTCTGGTAATGCAACTTAGTCTACATAGGGATAAATCTAATGTCATACTGTGGAACATTCTAGACAAAGCAACAGCATCTCCACTGCATATGGCAAGCACGTGTCCATCCAACTATTTGACCTGGACAGAGCTGGCCCACTGCACTGACCACCAAAGAGCAACTTTTAAGTGAGTCATGTTTGCAACACCAAGAGATTTCTTATGATATTGGGTAAGTGGACCCACCTTAGGCGCAACTTAAGAAATAAAAAAACACACTTTCCTAGAAAATCTGGTCTTGATAAGTTAACTCGGTTAGCCCTTGTGTCAGATGTGAGCATTTCTTCAAAAGTTTGACGTCAACAAAGCCCTTAATCCACACTATCTGCTCCACTTTCAGTAACAGTAACACAGATACTCTGATAAAGACCCACACAGGTGATAAGAGCCACACAGCATACGTCAGGTGTGTGATCCTCATGATTACTGCAGGAACAACTTAAAAGCTTTTCTGGGAAATCCAAGAAATATGTTTAACCAAAATCTGATACAAAACACATTTTGTTCTTTAGCTGCTCAGCTGAACCTCAGGATTTGCATTATTCATTCAGTACAATTTCTGACATTAAAAGAAACATTTTTTAAAATAATTTACAAGTACCTATTTGATGGAGGGTCCGTTACGTGCTTGTGGAGATGTTATTGGTTTGCTTGAACTGTTCCACAGTATGGCATTAAATGTATCTATCTCTTTAAGTTCAAATGTTAAAGTTAAAATAATTTTTTGTTTGTTTGTTTGTTTTTTAGCAATAACACACCTGTAAAAAGTTGAATGGCATACATATATATGTGTATATATATATATATATATATATATATATATATATATATATATATATATATATATATATATATATATATATATATATATATATATATATATATATATATATATATAATCTAACACTATTACCACTGTAGCACTTGGAAAACTGCTTCTTTCACAGCTACATCTAATAAAATGTTTTGAAATATGTGCCCCATCTGTGCTCATATACTACCCTGGTTTATAAAAGTGTCAACAGACCATTTGTAATATACCATAGAGATAAAAGAACTAATTCATGGTGCAGTAAAATTAGATACAAAGATTGATCATTGTAGAGTTATATCCGGGTAAAGTGCCAATTTAAAGCAGATTTGTAATTTGCTTTTGCCTCCTAATGGTTGGGGCCACATCAGTCATGTTTGAGCCAGGAGGGTGGGGGCGAGTAGTTAGCGCAGTAGCCTCAGCAGCAGTGAAGTTTATCCCTCCAGATGTTTGCATGCATTATTCATCCTAATAGGTGTTTTTGTGTAAGAGTCCGAGCCCTGTTTATCATGGATCAGCCTGCAGAAAGAGCTGGTTGCACGGCAGCAGGAAAAACAACAACTGATTTCTGAACCTACTGCCACTTAGTGATTATTGAATAGAGGAGTTTTTCCCATATCACGTTTCTTTTTGCCTAGAAACAGCAACCTGCTGGTGTAGAAGTGTGTTAAACTGTGTGTGTTAAGCTGGAGTCCCAGATGGAAAGTAACTACAGTACAAAATCAGACCTTTCCTGATATTTGTTTTAGATTAAGAAATCCCCTGATTCCTGACCCCAGATTGGAGCCTGTTGTACACGTTTTTAGTGATGGGGAAACCTAAGGGACTACTACAGAAAACTTATGCAGACGCAGAGAGAACATGCAAACTGGTATCTGAATCAAGTATCAAGCCATTTCTTTATTGCTGATCTCATATTTTTGTATTGTGTATGTGTATAGTATCAATTAATAGAATAATAATAATAATAATAATAATAATACATTTTATTTTTTTATTTACCTATATCGTGGAAACATGAGAGAGGAAGTGATACAGGTATATTGTAGTAGGTGAAATGAAGTCAAACATGTAACTGTAAAGACTCTCAGAGAAAATCTGGTAATGATTGTAAAAGTAGCAGTAGTAGTACTTTAAACCAAACTTTTCACAACTTATATGACACAATTTCATTTTGCAAAAAACTGTGCTGTGTATAGGGAAGCTATGGCCTTAACATGACCTCATTTAAACTCCACATGTCCCACCTGGAGTTGGGTTGGCATCATCCAGTGCTGTAGTGAGTCTGCTGTTGTGCCATTGGGCAACACCACGGGGTCACACAGATCCGTGCAAACAGGGAGGCAAACAGCACCTGCACCGAAAGAGAAAACAAACCACAAACACTAATTTATTCATGCACAAACTTCAAGCTACAGACCACATACCGCCTCATTGACTGTCATCAACCACTCGTACTCCTGGCAGCCTTTGATTTGAGCGACTTCCTACTGTTTTGCTATGAGTTACATCTAACTTACTAAGGCATTCCTCCCGGATGCTCAAAAATAAATATTTCCACCACAATATGTCAGTTCAGTTTTATTTGAGAGAAGAATCATATGTTTGTCTCATTTGCTTTTGAATGATGTAATTTGAGTTTCAGAGCACAGATGCCAAGTTACTATAGTATTAAATATGAAACAAACATTTGGTAAGGGCTAAAGCATCCAAGCAACTCTTTTGATGCAGCTAAAAGCCTCCAGGTTCAGTTATGTGTTTTGTCGTCCAACAATTTGCCTTGTAATTTCAGGTATGACCCTGAATGTGAGCTACTTTCAAGTTCTATTACAACCACAACTGCATAAGTAATAACTGTCTAAAGCCCTTAATCAGATGCTCTTACAAAGAGGGCTGAAGGCATTTGAAAAATATATAAACTAGCATTTCTATTTTAAAGCCCTACTGTGTAACTTCATGGCCAAAAAAGCCATGTTTGTTTGCACTAAAAACCTGCTTCTTGCCATAGAAATAGTATGGTGTTTTGAACTTTCTAACTAACTTTCACTACCAAAACGTTACACAGTGTTATTTTAAACTCATACTGGAGCACTAACATTTGAAGGGGAAAAAATGAACTGTCAAGCTAAGACAAAAATATGTGTGGAGGTCTGAAGTACAGAGTTAGCAAGTTTTATAATAGGACTAGATATTTTGTTCTTTACAGGGAATATTATGTTACTAAGATAATTGCAGCCTCAGCGATTCACTGATTGCGGCCATTTAAATAGCAAATTTGATTAAGCTTGCTGTTACTTACCCACAGCCGTGCCCTGGTCACAGATGTACTCCACAGAGTTGGTCTCAGCTGGAGGTGGACATGAGCCCTGGAGCTGGGAGCACATTGTGAATTCTGAAGTCCATTTGCCATCCTTTGAGCAATGAATTACACTCTGTTGATTAGAGAGAGTCATATTTAATTATGATATTTGGTTTTATCATTTTAATACTATGTTCCACTGTACATTTTCTTTTGGGTCAGGACATTGCAGTGTGCAGTAGCTGTCATAGTAGAGGCCATTGGTGCAGGTGTACATGCCCTGGTACACATCAGGTAACTCTGGGCAGGACACAGGCTCACACCCAGCCTCCTCCCACTGCCCCTCCTCCAGACACTCCAACTTAAAGTACTTCCTGGACATACAAAATACATACATTATGAAAATATCTGTTCTCTATAAACATAGTATTGATTTACTTAAAATAATATCATCTGTCCTTGCTGGTACCTGTTGCTATTTGTTGTTTGATCTGGTTATTTTTATTCCATCTCAATAAATAAGTGTAACTGTATGCATTATAGCCTGAGTTAATGTGGAAGGCTTAAGTAAAAAGGCCTGTTTAAAGCTACCTAATTGCTGCTGTTTGATTTCACATGTTGAATTGATAAAGCGTCAGAGGTTATTAAAATGTTTACACATATAGTTGAGAAAGTGTAACCCATAAAGATACACAGCTGCAAATGAATGCAAACATAAAATGGTGCACCACATTGGCAACAAATGTAGTGAAACTATAAAACATAAAGTGCGCTACAGTAGAGTTTTAATGGTCTTACTCTTTGTGATAGTAAAAATGTGTATATGTGATATTTGATACAACGCTTTGTGGACCATTTAGACTGAGCCCAGAGGCTGTGTCTCCACTAACAGGGACCTCATCTCATTAACAAGTTTGTTCAGTAATGAGCAGCTCATAAAGGAGACATATTTTATATTTTTTGTGGGTACTTAGTATTAAACTATAACATACGTACATAATATTTTACATTTTTGAACCCTCCATGTGTGACCCAGAGTCTGAACTTTTTTGAATAATCACAACAAAGTTCAGAGCAGTGAAAGGAGATAGGGGTAAGTGAGAAAGCGAACAAGGCTCTAATGCAGGATATTGCAGGATTGCTCAGCACAAAATTATGTCATATGATTGTAGTTAGAATATCATTTTAAAATCATGGTTTCACTTTTCACCCAAAACATTGTGTGTTCACATGTCATATTGTAAAAGTCTGTTGCATATAACATCTGAATCAAAGGCACAGATTTCACTGAGCGGCACATAATGGGGCACTTGTAAAACAAAGCGAAAGAGTGAACTTCCTTTGCTGAGAATAGAGGCGTGCACAGTAAAACTACACACACACTTTGAAGTTGGCTCTAGAAAAACTCTGTGTTACTTCAGTGTCTGCTAATGTGCTCTGATGAACAGTTTTGCAGGTGAAAAACTATACACAGATTATATTTTAGATAGATGCATAAATGTTGTAGCATATACCTTGGTCTGCTCTTCTTCAGGCTGCCCATCACATAGTATCCTGGACTGCACTTGTACCGACAGACAGAGCCGATGTCGTGCCCTGAAGCAAGGCACTCTCCTGTCAGCAGATGTGCATTAGGGATACTGGGAACCTCTGGGCACTCTATCTTACAGTAGGCCTCAGGAAAGGACCACAGGCCATCCTCCAGACACACCAGCCTGTCACTGTCACCTGCAGCCAAATAAGAGGCCATTATTTCACATTTTTAAGGTGCACACAATGTATGCGCAAGGTGGTTTTATTAAAAATCTCTGCATTGTGTACAGAACTGTTTTGTTAAAGGATGTGAATTGTGAATGAAAACAAAGCAATTGCTTAATCTACAAAGATGTAAAATAGTAGGTTAAATCATATTGACCTGACAGCAGAACAGAGTGTGCATTGGACATTAAAATATGTGGATTTTTCCGTCACTGCTTTGATTCATTTCTGCCCCCTGGGATCATTCAGCTTTAGTTTTATAGTTTTGCAGTAAAGTTATAAGCAAATGGCTTCAGTGTTGCCCAAAGCTAATATTTTCTGAGCCTACGTGGCCCCACATGAAGTATGTGTGAGTGTCAGGCTTTATGGACAATCATAACATACTTTTACTGGGTCTATAAAATATAATTAATCTTAATCATGGCATGGTTATAAGCTATTAAACCATTGTGTGAATCTGGGGATGCTCAGATGCATTGCAGTGGCTATCTGCTGGACTATGAGAAAAGAGTTCAAGGAAAACTTATTTCATCAAACAGGATCTGTGAAATTGTCACAGGGAAAATGTTAACATTGATCATATTATGCAGCAAGAAGTTGTACATTTTTTAAGATTTTAAGTCACAAATTTGCTGCATTTTTTGCTGGTCATTAGGACTGTAATGACTCATTGCAAAAATGGTTCATCTTTATCGGGCTTCTTACCAATAATACATTTTAGTCAATCATAATCTTATTATAAGCTTTTCAGTCAGCATATTTTTACTTTTATCTTGTTAAAAGTATATTTCAAAGGGCCCATATTAAGCTGTTTTCTGATCTATGTTATAAAGTTGTTTCCTCATCACAGACATACCTGGAGTTGTGCTTTGTTTCATTCACACAAACCCTGCGTCCATTTTTCAAACAGAAAATTCAGTTTGCACCTTGTGATGTCATGTAGTAACACAGGAAGTGCTCCACTGTGTTATTAAACTCCATACACCTTCACTAGAATCATTTGTATGATTTCACACCTGAAATTGCCAATCTCTACCAAACTAAAGGTAAAAGGTTGCTGTTAACTTGAAAACTACCACTACATGCCATCACAAGGTGAAAAAGAGCATTTTGAGTTTTGGGGATGCGAACAGTCCAATAATGTAGGATTACTCAAACATTTATGAATGAAACAAAACACAGCTCCAGGTAACCACATTCTAACATGGCTTAAAACTCAGGAGCTCAAGAATAAATTTTAAGTAATATAGGATCTTAAAAAAAACTCATATGTAATTATTTGACTCGATGACTAATCGAAAAGATAATTGCTGATTAGTGGACAGCTAAAATAATGGTCCTCTGGCGATGTGCTTTACCCTGTAGTATGGCTGGAGAACCACATGTGAAAGAGCACTGTTTCCCATAGGTTGTTCCCCAGGGGCAGCTGAAGATGGCGTGGTAAATGTGGGACTGGTCAGGAAGGCCACAGTCCACAGGCCGGCACCGAACCATACGGTCCCAGGAACCATGGAAACACTCCAGCTTTGCCTCCCTCTGCAAACAGACAACATGTTAACAATCACTTTGAGAAGGTTAGAAATAGCATTGGGGTCAACTTCAGCTACTTTGTATTTTTTGATTAAGTAGAAATTTGCAATGGTAGTTTACAATATGATGGAATAATTATGTTTTTTCTTTAACATCTGGATACATGTCCGGAAAATCCTCTGTGCAGCTGCTAATTATCTTTCCGTACTTTTCGACAAGCATGCCAGAAACACTTTAAATTATTACTGTAAGGCATTCCATAAAATCTTAACATATTTCTAAAGAAAGAAAAAAATCCAAGTCATGTTAATGTCAGCCAGATAAGATAAGAGCAGTTTGAACCTGATAGGATAGTTCTCCTTTGCCACTGAGAAACTTGATGCTGTAGCCTCGATGACAGCGCACAGAGCAGCGGGACGCCTCTCCTCCCCCTGTACACCTACACACACGCACATGCACACACACACACACACACGCGCACACACACACACACGCACACACACACACATACATTTTAAGATCACACAGTGGTGTGCATGGTATACCTCTGAGGGATATAGGTCCTACCTGACAAAGCCATGGTCTATCTGTGGTGGACTACAGCTGTCCAACTGACAAGCCTGCCTCAAACAACTGTGAAAAGAAAAACTAATGAATCCTAAAAAACAACAGATGAACAATTAAATCACACATGGCAATCTATAGTCCAGAATGTTGTGTGTACCAAATCTGCTACCCTCAAATGTAAACTTCCCATAGTCAGACTGACTAAACTCCAGATTACCAAAACCAGGTTTGAAAGTGACTCTAGTTAGATTTGGCCTATATCTCTTACATCAGGCTTGCTAAAGTGATCATTTTGTGATGGCAGGGTTCTTGAGTAACTTCTGTATAAAACCAGAGTTACTGGGATGAACTCTGTCATGTTTAATGTCTATATTGTGTTCTCTACATGCAGGTGCGTTATGCGTGTGTAAGGGGAGAGGTAGCTGTGGGGAAGCCCACCCTGTGATGCGCACCCAGTCAGGGCGAAGGTGCTGAAGTGGCAGGAGGTCCTCAGAGCCACACCTGCCACAGCCACTGAGGGAGAGGAGAGCAGCAGGACCACCGCAGAGGTGAGGAAGAAGGGGCGTGAGAGATCATGGGTCACATTCACCACCAGGGGGTTGTGATGGCACGACAGGTCATGAGAGCCTGAGAAAAACAATGCTCCATGTAATCTAATGTAATGTAACAAAGACTGTGTCGTCCCTCAGTTGTCCAGGCCCATAGCAAAGAGGTGAAGAAACCACTTCGATGAGAGGCGAAACATCTTCACTCAAAAACTTTTGTCCACCTGACAGAACTGAATTTGATTTTGTAATGTAACAATGATCTAATGTAAAAATGCAGTCCATAGAGCACTGCTTATCAGCCATGTGACTACCTCAGTGTGGTTTCCTTCCTGCACCATGGTAATGCAACTAAAACAGTGCTTAACAAACAATAAACTCAGTCTGAATCTTTTTTTTTAAATTAATGGTTATCTGTGATATTTCATTGCTGACTGCTGTTACTGAAATAATTTAGGTTTGTCCACTCTTAGCTTCACTTTGCACTGAAAGTTACAGTATTTAGAATGCTGTAAGCTGTAGTACTGATGAAACTGTGATGTGTGATACCCAGTGAGTGGTTCTTCCCAGTTGTATCTGACAATAGAATCACGACAGTTCTTCGACACTGCTCCCCGGACCATGAACCATCTGAGGCTAGGTACACCATGACTGAGGCAGCTACTCCAGGATGAGGAAATCCCACCTGCGTTCAAGGATCAATATACAAATCGTGATAATAAAATAGATTTAATATTAGAATACAAAAAGTTACTTAAATTTAAAGTGAGGCAAAGAAAACCAAAATAGTAATTTGTTTATTGGTTTCCTGGCAATGTTCATGTGGAACCAATAAAATGATCCACTTTCCACTGAGATGTTTTAATACTTAATTTAATAAACTTTCATCCACAGAGTTCTATGAAACTTAAAATGATGAAGCGAAATTGTTATTTTCAGTCAAATTTTCAGTGAGATTTCATTTACACAAATACTAGATAAGATATCTTAAACTCCCTTCTTAGATTTCTTTTTTTTTTTTTTTTTTAATCTAATGAGTCAACAAAAAGAAGTAAGAAATTTAAACATGGATCTTTTCATGTTTCTATTTTGAACATCTCAAAAAATTGTGGCAGTTTTTACACTTAAAAGCCCTTTTTTTTTTATATGAAAACATCACATGATGAAAAGCTTGTAATACACTTTTTTCTTACATTTATGTGAGTAAACAACAGGAGAAGTTTCAAATTGATATATCTAAATATTTATTTTTGTTTTTTTCCTATTCACCTGCAGTGTCTCGCCTTAATTTAAATGTCATTTAGGAAATGAAGATGTTAGATGATGGGCCAGATATAAGTTGTTTAAATAGAAGCATTTTATATAGAAGTTAAATTCATCAGCCTGTCTTTTCTTTCTCTTAACCAGTATTAATACCTTAGATTGTACAGTACATGATTTTAAAATGATCCCACCAAATATTATTAACAGAATAATAAAATACTTTCCATTCAATGGACTTAGTCTAGTTTAACTAGTTTAGTTTAACTCTAGTTTACAGTGTCTAAGCACAGGTTCTTCACTTTGATTGTGTTTACTTGGTGCACTTTCTGTATTGGTCTCTGCTTTCACAACTGTAGGCCTATATCTAACAAGAATTATTTGTGGATAAGGGGGATTGCCAGAATGGTTGGGCCTGACAAATAGGGTGTCCATAATTGTAAGAAATGGAAAGTTGAGTAAAACAGAGCATATGTATCATAATAAGGGCTTGGTAATCCCAAACATGACAGACAAGAATCAGTCACATCAACAGCTACCCCACACTCTCTGGACCCGCTGAGCTCAGTGTGGGAAGAGCGGTCGTGGAAAAAATGAATGATAGCAACGGCGCTCAAAACACACAAACCAGACACGAACCCAGAGTGGAAAGACAGGATTCTTAAGTAGCAATAATAAGGTATTTAGGTACAGAGTTTATTTGAAAACTCTTTAATACTGTTAATATGTTTTTACATTGAATACATTAATAGTCTAAGTTAAATGAGCTCCTAACATCATTATCACTATCCATCAGACTGTATTTTCAGTTGTCATACATTTGATTGTATAAGACTGTGAATTATGAGTAAATGGAGCATGGTAATTGAAGGCTTTTATACTCGGAATGATTTGTCTTAAGCTGAAACTCAAAATATACACATTTGACAACACGGATTATTAATACACTGAAATGTTTGCACAAATAGAAGCCATCTCTACCTTGAGCCAGTAAGTGTGCTCCAGGTCATTGCTGTCGTCTTGAGTGGTGCAGGGGAACCAGGCTCCAGTGGGAGGTCTGTCCCCTATGTCCAGATACTGAGACCTGCACAGCTGTGTACAGACAATAAACCCAGTCAATTCTAATGGAGAAAACTTGATATAAGAATATGGTGAAGAACACTGTGTAGGTCCTCTTCTAGTCCTGGTTTAGTCCCAGTTTAGTCCAGTCCCAGTATCAGCATCAGTGGTTAGATTTTTTTATTAGAAATTGTTAATTTTTCAGGTTGGGGTCTGCTGTCTGCTCAGTGTTATTGCTTATCTTGAAATGTTCCACAATATGACAATAAATGAATCTATCTTGCATTTATTCAAGTACAGTTATTTGCTAAATACAGTGTTGAGTGAAGTCACCACTCCACAGATCTGACATGTAACTTGGCTTGGTAGAGTCGCCTACTCTTCTCCATGGAAAAACATTTGTTTAATATCATACTGTGAAACATTCTAAGCAAAGTAATAACATCTCTATGGAGACAGCCGAATGGCAAGTTATAAAGTGTACCTTGAACCAGAAAACATTACTTCTTAATTGTCATTTGCTATATAGGGGCATAAACAGCATTTACCCTGCAACTAAGACTCAATGTACAGTAGACCGTTTCAAGAGTGTTCAGTGAAATACATTATTATAATTTGTTGTGTGTACCAGTGTTGAATTTCAAAAGGTGTGCAATTCATAACAAGTGTCTGTTGTTCTCGATACAAAAGTTGTAAATAGGAATGACAGGCTCAGGATTAGTTGGAATCCATGATAAGATGTTTCACTCAAAGTTCTGCCAGATTGTCCTTCAACTTTATGAGCTGGGCTTTTACTCTTCTCTCGTGGCTTCACCCGCCAGTCAGACACAGCTTATTTCTCAAAATCAAATTTTTAACTGACTCTGCACGAATGCATTCAGTACATAGAATTACAAGCCACTTGTTTATTCATTTTAGGAATGAATGTAATTTTAGGAATTTAAGGATTCACAAAAATTCTGTTATCTATATTCTGTGAGCAAATTATCAAATGTGTTCCAATGATGTTGCTGGTGTGTAAATGTACTTTGGTGTAAAAAACAAAATCATATTAATCTAAACTTCAGAAGAACTAAATGATGATGCATTATACCACATGTGGTCTATATATCTGCAGTACACATTACACATACTACATTTTCTCCATAAAGATTAGAGGGGATTTGTGATTACCAGTTCATGCATTGTTTTGGTGCCAGGTATTTTGGACTTGGATGATGTTGATGTTGTTGAGATTATTGCAGGAACATATTGTTCAGGATATTGTTACTGGGTACACATTTGCCCTTGAGCCTGTAACCACTAAAATGCTTTGAGCTTTTGAGCGTTTCTACCTTTATGGCTGTCTGCGTAACCCACATTCCCCAAGTGTTCCATTACATGATGCAATTGGGAAATGTGTTTCTAAGGTCATTTGTATTGTACATGTTAAGTCATCTGTTGTCTTAAATGAACACACATAATATTTTTCTTGTTTTTTTTTTTTTAGAAATAAATCCAGAATTGATCAGAATTTTAAATCTTAAATATAGAAACAGGTCTATTGTAGGCCTGTCACAATAACAAATTTTGAAGTACGATATAAATATATAAACAATAATACTGAAACAAACTGAATGGATGAAACAATTGATGAAACAAGATCACACTTATACCACAAAAACTATTCTAAATCTATAATATTGTTAAAAAAAAAACATGAGCTGCAATAAATAAACAGCAGAATGAAACACTTTAGTTCTTAGTTTCCATCTGTAATGAGTCATAAATGTTATTCATTCAAACTTTTGAGGCTCAAATCTTATATAGCAAAAAAAATTATCACAAATTTCCCAGTAGTGGAAAGAAAAAGCACACCAAAAAAAATATTGTTCAAGCTTCCACATATTGAACGATAAGTCGATATAGTAATTACGGTGGCAGGCCTAGTCCATTGACTTCCTGTTCAAAACTGTGGAGCTGATTATCTCTGGCTTCACATCTCCATAGCGTTTTGTAGCAAGCAGCAGATTTTCATTTTTACTTTTATTTATTTATTTATAATTTTTTGGGGGAACTGTGTAATTTTTTAGCTCTCCCTGTTTCAAAATACTACAGAGCTAAGTGCAAACTGAAATTTTAAGCTTCAAATGCAGAAAAGCACACAAATTACTCAAGCTCTAATAAATCGCTCATAAGCGTTTGATAGAGAGAAACAGTTTTGATTTGAATACCTTATTGAGCTGTGGCTCCCCGGTGACAGCGCGTGCAGGACACTTGTGGGGGTCTTGGTGGGAGGCAGCAGCAGTTGAGGCCCACTGATCATTGAAACCCAAAGGAGTGAAGTAGCCACAGTCCTGTATACTGGAGCCACGTTCAAACTCCTCACACACGCCATCCCCATCAAAAACATAGCACTGACTGGGTTCTCCTTCAGAAACAAACAAAAACAAGACCTATGAATGTGAAGCTTGATTCTGTATCTGGCGCAATGCAAAAATTATCCAACATTGTCTGACTCTCATCCAAATATATTGTCAGAAACACAAATCAACCTTGTGTTTTCATTGGCGCTTTTGATGTTAGCAGTATTGACTCAGCCAATCAGCCGTATTTGTGATATTAATAGTCTGGGGGGGAAATATGGGACTTGGCGTGGTAGATCCCACACAGGGCGCTACAATATTTACAGTGACCAGGTGAAAAGTGAATCATCATGTGTCAAAGATAAATGCTCACTCGATTGTCCAAATAGCTCCAAAGCCACATATTTTCAGACACGCACATCAAATTCTGGGTCCAGAAATGCAATCATTTTCTGGAATGATTAATGAACCAATCTGGTCTGCTGAAAAGACCCCCCAACAATGTGTGGTTTGCCTTTGACCCAGGGGTCTCTTGAGAATGAAAGATTACATAAAATATGCTCTATACTTGACTATTTCCACTTAAGTAGTTGTTTCTTGGAGCATAGAGCTTTGAAGAGAAAATCACAATATGGCAATTTGACCACAGTTATTGTCACAGGAATGAGAATTTGTGCCATCATATTACTACCATCACAGCAAAAAAAAGCACTTAAAATATTGGCCTATTCTTTTTTCACCCCAGTTGTAATGTTTGTGATGTGATGTTTGAAAACCAAAGCAGATAATCTATTACACCTCAGACAAATCCTTAAAGATTAGAGGGGATTTTTGTTACCAGTTCCTGCTCTGCTCTGGTGCCAGGTAGTTTGGACTTGGACAATGTTGTTGAGATTACAGCAGGAACATAGTGTCCACTTAACAGCTATACAGTTGCACCTGATTGGTTAAGGTTGCCGTGATAATAATGGGTTCTGTGTTAGTCTACCAAAACCAGTGTGAAAGTATAGTTTAATGACAGTCCGTAATGCAACAAATATTCCTCTAAAACCTCCTGTGTTGTTTTCAATAACATCTGGACAGCTGCACGAAAGACACCGTCATGTCTTTCACAACTGATCAAAGCAGATAAGTCCAGGAACAGTGGAATTGGTAAAAACAACAAAACATTGAAATAGCTCATACCTAATTTATAATGTATCTTATGGCACAATCAGGATATGGTTTATCTTTCTTAGAAACCAATATTTAATTAAATTTATATTGTTTGTCACGGGGTTCTCCCTCAACAATAAAACTTGTGTGTTAATGTGAAAAGCAGTCTGAAAGCTGCCAGTTTGGAAAAGTAAGGGTTACGAGAGAGTAATGTGGTTAGGAAACCCAAACAAATATTCTGTTCATGACTAAGACCAACAATTGAATAATTGGATTTAAGTGTTCCAATTTGTAAAAGCTGTTTTTGCCAAATTGTTTTCTTTACTAGTCATAATTTCTTTTGTTGTGAAAGGAGAGATGTAATGGTCTCACTCACGGCAGGAATAGACCTGCTGAAAGACATGAAACTCGTACCATGTACAAAAACATGTGGTAATAAAACTCATACACATTCTATAACTGAGAGATCATCATATTTTGTCATTTAAATACCATTTTAATGATTCATGTCTTGTTCCTTAGAAAACTCTTCTATTAGTGTTAGTTTTAGTAGCATTCCTCATAACATTCACCAATTTAACAATCGGTAATATTAACCCAAACCGTCTATCCCAAAGTCTAACACTTTATAATAATAACTGCACATTTAATAACCTTAATGGAGCATGAACACAAACTTAATTAATAATGAACAAATAGTTTAGGAAATAGTTTATTTTAATAATGTAATAGCATGTTGTTACAGGTAGAATTGCATTGTACTTCTACCACCATACAGTACGATACTTCCACTATCCTTTGTTTTTTATATTATTGCAAAAATACTCATAGCTTCCCCTTACCGTTACAGTTGAAGCCCCGCTCTTTTTGGCATTTCTTGGAGCAGCCGTCTCCATCCAGCAGATTAGTGTCATCACATTCCTCAGACCTACAGATCAGAGTGTCAGCATTGCCTTGGTTTTACGCAGTAGTATATTAGTGCCATTATACTGTACTGACCCCTGTATGAAGCCATCTCCACAGTAAGACTGTCCGTGGATGTACAGCAGGGAAGGAGACTCATCACTCACATTTTCAGCTTCTACCTGGACTGTGTACTTATAATGGACACCAAGCTGGACAGAGCTGCACAAAGAAATACAGAATGAATAACATATCTCCATATTGATGGTAAAGGAATGTTCCACAAAATTACTTAAAAAGCAAATAATAATGACTACCAATATCCATGGAAACAAATAACTTGAATAGTAACTGAATAAATGAAAAATATATGTAAGCGTATACTGAGGAACATCCAGTGTCATGAGTCAAGCAGGTGATGGACCCTACATCAAAAAAGTTGCACAGTGCATCTTTAATACGAGAAGATCTTGCAGAATAGGAACTTGTGAAGAAAAGACTGTGCCAATACAAAGCAGTTCTAAGGTATTATGAACAAAGGGAGGATTATGTATCACTGTACGTTCATCACCAATCAACATATCTCTCAGGATTATTGCAACAAAACCAGGCCTATGCCCACTCTGCTTTGGTCTGTAACCTTGCAGTATCCAGTGACCTGACAGGCACATAGCAGGAAGTCAGTGAAACTTAAGCTCCATAAAAATATCCTTGTTCTCTGTATTTCTGAACACATCAAGAGCATTTATTTGTCAGAAATCAGTCAGTATCTGAGATGTGTGTGTGTCGGGTTACTCCCTGTAAATCCCTATTATAAATATTTGATTAGAATATGATATTAGGAAAAAATAACATATAAATACATATGTTCTCAAACAGAAACAATATCCAATAATTGATTTCACTTATTTCCCCACACAAGATGTTGTTTTTGTCCAGTTTGTGCTTTGTATCTCTGACGTTTGGCTCACATTTGAATCATCCATTGCTTTACTCATCTGTTATTTTATTTTATTTTTGTTTTGTTTTGTTTTTAACGTGTGTGAGTAGGTTTGATTAGTTTTTCAGAGTTTTCAGTTTTTGAATATTGCTAAGATATTGGCAAAGATATTAGCTGTGCCCTCCTCTGTGTGAATACTTGGGCCTGGTGTCTATTAATATATTAATACATTAATACAGTAGATATATATTTTTTATCTTCATGGTGATCTTCATATCTTTATTTACTTTATACAGAGAAGGGATATAAAAGTGTGTAAATGGAATGTATTATTGACACTAACCTGTCAGTGAAAGTCTGCTGCCTCTGAGCGGGGGCTTCTCTGGTAAAGGGGGGTTGTCGGTGGAGCTTGTACAGCAAAGGCTTACACCCTGAGCACAGTGGACTGTCTGGACCTGAAGACAACATGGCTGCATCGATCTCCAGTTTCTCATCGAACGTGCTGAGTCTTATGGCCTCCACTGCAGCGCTGTTTGTGCTGAGGCGCAGAGTCAGAGGCATGTCACAGTACACATGCTGAGGGCCCAGGTGGATCACCCCTCCTCTCTCTGTGATCAGCTCGATATCGGCAATGGCCGGGTTATCTGACAAACAAAACAGGATGCTAAAAAGCTGCATAGGGAAGTGGGTCTGCAGAGTAATTAATAGGAATTAGTAATTCAGTTGTTATGGACTAAATGTCCTTCCAGCCATCAATACCCAAGTAATGTAAAGATGATTCATATCAACATTATTAACATGGACTTTGGGCAGCACTGACCCTCTCAATTTCTCCTTCTCTTTGGGACAGCCAGTTTTGTGATCATTTTGATGCTAAAAGTTGCAGGTAAGATATGTTGAGAGGCAATCCTGCCAATGTACTTTAAGTCATAAATGCACCTGTAATTGAATACATACAAGGATAAAGCCATACTGTGGGGGATTACAGCAATGCCATCTCCATGGGAACAAGCAAGAGGCATACACTTCACCAGAAAAGTTAAAAAACAAATAACTCTAGTCAAAAAGCTTTTTTAATCATGTATATGTGTTGGTAACATGTGTAGTCTGTGGTATATTGTTAAAGGAGGCTTACTTGTAGAGATATAGGTGACCCACAGGGTGAGGCTGTGAGGTACAACAGGGTGAAGAAAGTCCAGAGTGAGGGTGCACCCCTCTGTGTCAGGACATGGAGATGTGACATTGGTGTCATAGAGGCTCAGCTCTGGGCTCCAGGCCTGCAGGCTGGGCTCACAGGGCTGCTCCACATCAGGGGGGCCTGTGAGGGCAGAGTGAGGAAACGGTCATTAGTCTCAAGGGAGCAGGCAGTTTTACATTTGACCCATCATTAATGGTTTAATTATTTCCAATTATCACAAGGAAATACAATAAACATGGTGTCATTATCAAGCATTTCCCAAAATAAAACCACATGTTCAATTAGGCGTAGGTGTTATTCATTACATAAACCACAGTTTTATGCATTTAAACCCTGAGCCAGTGACTTAATAGGACATTAAAACAAGTAGTGTTTTTAAACAAAGTTGAACTTAAAATTGTGATTTCCTTAAATGGTGTCAGCACTATTATTACTTATCAATATAGTATTTCGACAATCCACTGCATTTGATTAAGCTGCAATCAAATCAATCAATCAATGCATCTTTATTCTTATTCTATTTTGTCCTTCTATTTTATCCTTCTTGTCAAGTACACCTTTTCTGGTTAAATATTATAACATAACAATACTTTTTTGATGGTCAGATAAGCCCTGTTTTGTTTTGTTTTTATTTGTAATAGCTCTTTTTGGATTGGGCCTTTTAAAAATTAATGCATGAGTTTGTGCACATTACCTCTGTTTTTGTTACTTCACTGTGCAATACTAAAATGTTGTTAAAGTAGAAACGGTTGTAACAAATAAATGTGGAAACTACCTGGCAGTTCCTAAACGTGAATCAAAACAGCCTAATTTCCCCCCTTACCTTTCCTTCCTGATTGTATAATATATGTACACATGTTTTGGCTGACAGAGCAGCTCTGTGCATTATCATGTGTGAAAGTGTGCGCAGAGAGGAGAACGCAGGGATGCCAGCAGACAGCCTGTCTCCTCTTGTGTGTGCGCGGTCCTGTTTAGAATAAGACAGTAATTGACTCTTTATCATCATTACGATCCCACAGCCAAAGAGCGGGACTCGTAATCCCCCCTGGTCCTCCGGCCGCTTGTTTTCAAAGGAGAAATTCCAGTGGAGGATTTCCACATATTTGGGTCGAGTTTCCACGGAAGCAGCGGAAAGTGTTATTGTACACTCATTCATTTGATTCTTTTTACATTGTTTAATAGAATGTGTTTTTTTCCATTTGTGTAGTGTTTTCTTGCTACATGTCAAAGTAAAAATGATTAAACTAACAAGGACCATATGTTCACACCATTACATTCTATAGTGTGTTGTTTATGGAGCTTGAACAGCACCCAAACATTACCAGAGTCGACGCTCAGATGCCTAATAATCCTTGTTCTCACTTTGGCCAAAGCAGAGACACAGGTCTGTGGCTGGGGGCAATTATCATTTAATGATTTTCGTCTTTTTCCTTTTCCAGGAGCTATTAGGCTTGCACGCACCTGAGATTTACAGGGAGGTGAGGTGTGCAGGATGGGCAGCAGCACTACAGTAAACAACACACAGCACAGTAGTGGAAGTTTACCTAAACAACAATTCATTAATAATTACAGAGAGAAACCTTCAGTGGACTCAGGTTGTTCTGTTTCTGTTTTATTTAGAGAAGAATCATACAATATAAGGTAAGATTTGCAGGTTAGTTTTGAGAAAGATTATTTTGAGTTTTGATATTTTGATTACAATGTTTATTTTGGCACTAACTTTCTGGTGGAGGACCCACTATCTGCTTGTCTCTGAGGAGATGTTATTACTTTGCCTGGAATGTTCTACAGTACAGTAAGTATCATTTCATCAGGATGTTTTTATTGCTCATGTGCTCATTAGGTATAGGCTTGCCACTCCACAGATCTGATCAGTAACTTGGCATCACTTACTTCTCTTCATGGAGATAGACAGAGACCCTCTGCCAGAAATGTTACATAATACACCTTTAATGCAGTCACAGCAGTTTAGCTTGATTATCCAACAGGATGTAATACAATTTATGTACACAAATAGGCTCAAGTTAAAAAGTCTTAAATTGGTGTAATATTGTCCAGTGTTACTGCTGTGTTGTTACCATAGACTGTATAAAGAAGTTTCCTGACCAGTCAGTCCCTGGAGCCAGACCATAGAGCATGAAAAACCTTCGTCCAAACGTCTATCCAACCACAGCCACTGATTTTTAGCACGTGTCCCTCAAATGACATCTACTTGTGAAAATTCAATGCAAAATATACAACTTCTTTTGCCTCAATTAAGTAATAGTTTGGTGATTCAATTGTTAATTCTGTAAAAAGCCACACTGTTTCTAGGTCATTTATGTAAAATGTTCTTCTTTTTACAAGTAAGCAGCCTTGTTTGTTTTTGACATGACTGGAGCATGCGTCTCTCTGATTGGTTAATCCACCTGTCAATCACACCCTCTGAAATCAGGGAGGTAGAATACAGCGCCAGATCCACTCATCTTTGTAAAGTTTGTAAAAAAGTGGACTGCGAGGTGACGTAACCCATGGAAGCTCATCAAGCCCAGCAGTTACGGGGCGAATTTAGAGTCGAGTTCCATATTTGGATTCCAATATGGAGCCAAACCAAAGTGACCTGCTGCTATGCGAGCTTGAGGGGAGTGTGCCAATGCTCACTTCCTATTTGGAACATGGCAAACAGGAGGTTAGCTATGTCCATTTATATATACAGTCTATACTTGATACTGACCAACAGCTTCTTCAGGTGTCCAGTATCCAGACGTGTCACAGACTCGAGGAGAAGCAGCCTCAAACGCGTATTGATGAAAGACGCCATCACTCTCACATAGTCCACAGTCCACTCCCGAAAAACCCAAAGCAGAGCTACAACAAGAGAAAGCAGTATTTGAACAGTCATTTATCACCATTAAAACCTATAACTTTCAAAGAGCTACCTGTAATTACCTTTGATAAAGTGGCCCACTTAATGGGGCTAACCAATACAGAGACACAGATCTTGCAGTCTGGGCTGTTATTATTGGGGCCAGAGGGACAGGGGAAGGCTGCTGAGTTGTCAGCCACTTCTGATAGACCAGGTCTAAGTAACAGTGCATTCGGGCCACTTGGTTTGGTGTGAAGTGGTTGGTGCAGTTGTCATCTAAGGTGAGGAAAGAAAAGTTGTTTAAATGTTAAATTTCAAGTTCAGCGATTTAAGTGAGTGATGTGCAAAAGATAAAGTCAGAAAAAATTGTGCCTTAGCTTAAGTCTGAACTATTCATTGCTTCTAGTCTTTTCCAGTATAAAATAGTCACAGTATTAACACTAAACTCATCAACCTCGATTCTGATACTAAAGAATACACTTAATACTCAATACCAGTTCTGATACCATGATGATAATAGAGAAACAACTCTTTGTTTAGGTAATTCTTTAGGTAGAGTGCGATTTTTAACATTAAATAATAGTACTTTCTCTTATATTACCATGTGGCCTTATATCAGTGTAATCCCTCAGTCGTCCAGGTATGTTCTATAGTGGTCCGTGTGCATATACTAGTCTATGTGGTCTATGTTCTGATATAGCTCAAGATCATTCTAAAGTGATACAGGAAAGGTTTATTACTCTCTTGTGAATGTGACTCTTTTAGTATCAATACCTGCGTAAATTAGTATATACTGTCAATGCTAGTTTTAGTTTTGATTAGTATCTAATTTTCAATACTTACCTTCCTACTACTTACAGTTTCTTCTTAATGTTGCTAAGTTAAGAACATGCTCATTTTCCACCAAAACTATTTGAGATATTTGACATAATCAGGTCAAAACAGCACACTTACCAGTGTAGCTCATATAATTACTATAAGGAGTATCTTGGTAGTTGATGACCCCACAAGTGTCGTTCACAGCTCCTGGATCGTGACAGACCTTGGACTTGGGAGTGGGAGCAGTGTCAGCACACAGGTCTCCAGTTTCCATGGAAGGGGTGGTCTCCTGAAATGATCAAATGAAAAGTTTCAAGTCAAAATTATTGTTTAAGTTCTATCAGTCAATGAAGGATACCTGACATGGGTCGTCACAAGAGTCCCGTTCACTGACGCCTTTAAAAACGTGGTAAAGACCAAAGATGTGCCCCATCTCATGGATCATGGTGTTGTGGTGCCCCTCTGTTCCAAAGTAGGATGGATTTAACACCATGCCCCCTACAATCAAAATTACAATTATGTATTTACATTTGTATGATCTACAAACACTAATGAAGAAATGTAAGTGCATATGGGCTGACTTCACCAATGTAAGTAAGTGCATTTCAGCCCAACTAAAACAAAACAACAACATTAAAATTAAGCTCAAGGAGAACCAAATCCAATTTGTTCACTTTGCATTTATCTTTGGTTTCTCAAATTCTTGTTAGATTTCCTACACAGCAGAGATAAGGGTCTTCTTGTGGTGAAGTAATAGTGATACTATCAGGAAAAGACAGAACCGATTCAAGAGTTATTGGTTCTTAATTTTAAACATACTCCCTACAGGAAAACATTCAACAAAAACACTAAAAAACAAGCTGCAGGCACATCTTCAAAATAAGAACACATGGTAAGAATCCTCAGGTAAAATCCATCTCCTTTGAAAGATTAAGGCTTTCAATATTGTCTTTTACAACAACAACATAATACAGCTAATGGTCATCTTGAGTTATTACTTTCATGCAGTGAGTAAAAACATACAGGTGGTAACAATGGCCCAGCACTCTGCTGTTTGTTTGTGCTGTTGCTGTTGGGTTGATCAGGCTTTTCCAGTGGAAAAGGCTTTAATGATTAAAGCAGGAAACAGGCAAAGTGCCGGGAACATCTGTGCCAGCCCTTATAGCGCCCCACATCTCTCTGGGATATGAGTGTACAGAATATTATGAGTGCAAACATGGAGACCAAGAAGCTAAGAATTAAATATGTATATTACTGACACATCACTGCCAGCAAATAACAAAATAAAATATGTTTGTTAGTTTCAGTTTGTCATGGCAACAAATCTTGATCAGTATCTTGTGTATCCTTCTGCTACATTTTCCACATCTGACTTAACATTATTTGAAAGTAATATTGCTTCCAAATTGATAAATATGCTTGTGATTAAATAATGTATTGAAAATCCCACCTTGGTGAGAGAGGGCCTCCTTTGCCCAGGGCCAGGTTGCGGCTCCAGCTAGCTCCTCGCGTGCAGAGTTGTTAGCAAAGAAGACATTTAGTGCATCAGTGCCGCTCAGCTGAAGTTCATCCTTCAGCTCTTTGATGCTCATATATGCCCTGGAAACGAACACAACATTTCAAAACAACATGAGAAGTCATTCAATATAGCCAAATAAGCTGACGTGGGCCTTTGCAGAAATGTTCTCTTGGTGCTAGTAATGTGTAATTAATCACATCTAAATTATGATTCAAATGTTGTTGTTTTTTTTATCAAACTCTGTACATCTATCTATTTATGTATCTGGCCAATCATCTGTCAGCACATGCAATCAAACTTTGGAGAAAGAAATTTGACCTTTTTTATTTGTATTCATAATATTAACATTGAGAAACATTTGTATTTGTTTTAGATAAGATAAAATACATAAAAACTGTAAATGATACATATAAGTAACAATATTGTTATTATAAGTCATGTTGCCCAGCTCTACATGGTGCACAGTAGCCCTCTATACTTGGGGCACAGATGCTGCATAGGCTACAAATAATCTGAACTGTTTAATGGTACTGTGGAGTTAGAGGCCTACTAAACTTTAATCTTTCACTCCAAATGAATCCCAATTTTCCCATACGAACACAGCATGATTACATGGCCTTACACCACAAAATGAGTTCAATGTGCACTGCTGTGAGGATCTACTGTACCTCCTGAATAAAACCAGAGCCCAGGCGCTCTGTTAAATAAGGTGAATATGCTTTGGGGAATCCCTGTTATATCCCATAGGTTCAGTTCAGGCCACATAGACCTCCCAGATACAAAAAGGTAAAGAAACAACTATATGGCATTCAAAGTTCTGTTATATTTTAATGTTAAAGCAGAGTTTTTAAACATCTTCTAATGGTTTTCCCTGCACCATGCACTCAGTCAAAGTTTAATTTAAATTTATTTAAATTTAAGTTTAAATTGATTTGAGCATGTTAATCTTGTATTGTCTTGCATTTGCAATTTGAGTGCAGAACATTTCTGTTTTCACCTATCCCTACACACATCCCAGTACTTAGATGCAATTACAAAAAAAAAAAAAAAAAACAAAAAAAGTATGGTTAAAAAGTGTCATACAGCCATCTATATAAAATAATAATAAAAACAGCACACTCAAACTGCACTGTAAAGGACACTTTAAACTGTAAACTGTTCAGTAAACTGCACTATGAAAAGGTGAATCCTGTCCCTTCTAGTGTTTAAACAGGAAGCCAGTGGATGGTTTTGTTTTATATCAGTACTGCAGTTGAGTTTACAATGCACAAAGTGTAAAATACTGATCTATATAATTGTTTTAGTATAGTACTAAATACTCAAAGAAAAAAGAAAAACATGTTTGCTTTAATGTTAACTATGCAAATTTCAATTATCACAACAAAGGACTTTTGCATGAATAGCAGCAGTTAAATAATAGGCTCTAAAGCACCTGGCAGACAAATCAAAAGACAAATACTGTACCTAAAGCCCATGACCAACATTCAAATAGATCAATGGTTTCACAAATGCCAGAAAATGTCACGCTCACATTCATTTTCTTTCCGCTTGATAAAGCGGCAAGCTGGAGCCAGGGTCAGGCACATAATTCAAAAGACTTCCTCCAGATGACCCAGCTCTATATTTACAAAGGCAAATGCATTTGTCCACCAATGGCCTACTACGTTTAAAAAATGGAAATATGAAATTAAATTGCTCAAATGGTTGAATTCGTAGGGCATTTATATAGACAGGGTGCCAGCAGAGTTGCATAAGTGTCCTAAAATGAAACACAATAAAATCTCAAAACTTGGAATAATGTTTTTGCCCTGAGAGAAAAGAGGATCTATTTTGGAATACTCTTTCTTTACCCTAGTTATTACACAATGTGTTACCCTGCACTAAGTAACTTTTCTGGCGGAGGATTCACTACTTGCTTGTCTCCATGGAGGTGTCATATGTAGAATTTTCCACAATATGACATTAAAATTATTACATAATAAATACATCTCCATGCAAAAGAGCAGCTGACACCACCAGGCCAAGTTACAAGAGAGGGGACACCCACTCAAAAACTGCATCTAAATACAAATAGAGCTAATGCAGAAAATGTCCATGGAGACACACAGGTGGCAGATCCTCCACCAGAAAAAGTTACATAGTTAATATTACAGAGTCTTATAAGAAAGGTTTTGGACCATTTGCTTCATGGAGGTCTAATGCTTCTATTTTTGTTTTGCTACTTTCAGTCAGACACTATAGAGGCAGCCAACAACTACATTTTATTACTCCCTGTCAGCATTATTCCCCTGTTCACCATTTTACTGTCTATAGCATTCAAAGTATCCTTCTAATAAACAGATAGAGTTCCCCTCTCTTGTTTCACAGTGGCACATTGCAGGCCTTGTGGTTACAAAATGGATTAAAAGTCGCTCTTTACGAAGTTGGGCCGACGACCTCATGGCGAGACTTGATGCAAACTATTTGGAACTCTGCGGGGGCCTGTCTGTCATTGCAAATGGAAGGCAGCAGGCCGCCACTCGAGTTGTTTAGCAAAAAATAAATGTGTACTTTGGCCTTTTAACCCAACATCCCCACTTCACAGGGCTCTTGCTGTAAACCACTGGGGAAAGTGAGAGTGCCAATTTGTCCATGTATTCGGTTGAGCTGTTCATTGCACGTCCCTTCCAGCCAGATATGCACCTCATGTGGAGAACTCTTCTTATTAGTGGCCTTGTGTGCCCAAACTTACAACCAGAAAAGAACTGGAAAAAAACATGTTTTCATAAGTCTGATGCTGCTGGGTACACTGTCTGGAAATAGAAGAACCCAGACAGAATACTAAATTCCCAACTAAATCAGCTATAAATCACAGTTTTCATTGGTTATAGTTTTCACAACTGAACAAACTTTGCACATTTGCAGGTGCTCAATAGAAAATGAAACTTCCTTTTGCAAGAAAATCAGCAGGAGGTGCGGTGACAGTTTCATTAAAAGATCAAACAAAACAAAGTGTTGCAGGAAATTGGAGAATTGGTAAATTGGTCCAGCATTGTGTGAACAGAGATGAAAGAACTATTACTGGACTGATTAAATCCATGCAGTGGATTTACAAGGTGACAGATCACAGTGTAGCTTTCAGTCAAAGTCACATCCATTTAACTTTCTTTTTCAGCGTATCACTTTTTGCAAAGAACAGAAGAGCTCCGTTCACAGGACAAATGCTGCTGTTGGTGGAAAATGTATATCTGACTCAAGTATGAGTATGCAACAAATGTCATGCAACATTTGGGATCATAAGATGTACCATGAGTCTGATGCTCTATTATTACTCAGCAAAATTCTAATATCAGATGTAATATTTCCTTTTTTTTATTTCTAAGGTAGTAGTACACAAAATAATTGTTGGGTGATTAAAGACATACCCTATGCATCAATTAATCAACTAAAAGGGGTGTGGTATTTATAAAAATTCTCAAAATCATTATAATCTTGTAAAAAATAACTATGTAAACACAGATGTACTGGCAAACAGCCGTGAAAAATAAATTCTCCAGTCATTCTGAAAACTCCTCCTCTGCTGTAGTGCATATAAATTCTTATAATCGTAATGAAATAATTAAATGAAATAACTAGTGGCAAACACCTAAAGGACTATAGCCATCCATATAGGTCTGTCACAATAACAAATATTGAAGTGTGATATATTGATGAAGTAAATATAGAACATAAAAGATAATACTGACACTTATGCCACTGACACAGTAACCCAACAGCACATTTAAACCAGAAAAACTATTCTAAATCTATAATATTAAAAAAAATATATAGATAATGAGCAGAATGAAACACACAAGACACAGTGTCATTAATTCAGTCTCTCTCAAATTTTATCATATAGCCAAAAAATTTCCCAGTAGTGCAAAGAAATTGTATATATGATGCATATTCACCCCAAAAATATTGTTCTAGCTTTCATGTATTGAACAATAAGTCGATATAGTAATTATCGTGACAGGCCATAGTTGGAAAATTTCACAGGAATGCAAACGTCTTCAATCTGCCTGTCGAACTTATCTAAATACACTCTGATAGAATGGTAGTTTAAGAATTATCAATAAACATATAGCTCTTACCTGTCTGGAGACTCTGGGTCAAAACATGTCTTCAGCACATCCGTTACCGCCGGTTCACAACAGTCCCCGTCATCATAGTCGTAGTAGATACTGTTGCACTCCATGTTACAAACGCCATCTTGTCTTTTCCAGCTGTAGCACGGCCCCAGCCTCAGACAGTCTCCTCCATCGTGACCGGTTCTGGGGTGATCGCATTCAGGATCACACTGGCGATTCCCAATCTTCTCAATCCGACAGTTGCTCAGAATAAACTTTTCTCTTAGACTGGAGTTTCTGACTGTGTGGATGTTGATCTCCAGAGTGATGTTATAAGGGTGAAAGGCTTCAACAAGAGCTTTATGCTGCAGGTCAATTTGGACCTTGGATACCGTTGGGTTCCCACCATCGTCATCGGCCAAGTTGACGATCCTATAGCGCACATGCTTGGAGGTCCGGAGCTGCCAGTTGTTGTTATAGCCAGCAATAATCTCTGTGTTATCGCAAGGTGTAAGTCCGCAGGGAGGAGGGTCAAATGGGGACACAAGCTCTTGTTCAGGGACTGGAGTGGTGACAATGCTCGGGTGGACACCAAATTTGTATGGAGTCCACAACTTCTCTACCTACAACCAAAACATAATTGGAATGATGCGGTAATAAGATTGTAGATACTATGTTGAAATTTGTTTTGTTACTTTTGCCAACAAGGATTTTATTGATTTAGCTAGATTTCAACATAGGCCTGCTATTGGTAAAAGTTTTAGTGGGTCTCAGATGACATCATAACTAAATCAATAAAAGTCAGTAATATTTAATACAGGAAAAACTGGCATCACCACACTCTTGAATCTGAAAACTTTCATAGGGTTATGCTTGTTATGCTTTGCGCATCAACCACAGATAATATCCAAAGACATAAATTACAGGAAACATGAACCCTAACTTACATTGGTGAAGTCAGCCCACATGGCCAGTAGGGGATCACTCTTATCAATGTCCTGTGGTCTTTGCATCAGGTCTTCTTGATTTCGGGCATAGTCCCACAGGATAAAACCTCCTATATGTCCCCTGAAGCTGTGGCCCTTCTCTGATTTGTTGTTGCCGAGAAAGAAGGTTCTGCAGGTCTTCATGAACGAGCTGTACAGATTTCCAGATTGGAAATTGCTCTCTCCAACCTGTCAAAAAATAATTTCCAGAAGAAATGATGGTAAATATGCAGAAATTTCTATTGAGCATGAGGTAATAATATAATAAGATTTCTGTCCAGTAGCTTTGTACTATATAAGTACAGCTTCTTCTGAGAGGTCACACTTTGCTGTGATTGCCATAAGATCAGTTTTGAGCATGTAAACTCTAAAGTAAGGTAACTACAATTTAGGATATAAATTTACACACCTTAGCTCCGTCGACATACAGGGTCATGTTGTGGCCGTTGTATGAAGCCATTAGATGTGTCCAGGCGTTGCCATTGTACCGCTGGTGGCTATAGACAGTAGTGGATTTGATTGCTCGGTCCGTGCGCAGAGTGAAGTAGAATCGGGCGTCTTTGGTACTGCCAGGCTCCAGTGTCTGGATGCCCACAGACCAGCCCTTCTCACTCAGCGAATGGGAACAGTTGTCGAATACACCTGAAGACATGACAGACAGAGTGAATAAAGAGAAATAAAGACATATTAGTTTGGTTCATTTTGCATTAAGAGACAAATGCTGCTGTGGCAATTCTAGCTGGCAAAGGAAAGATGAAGTATTTGTTATTAGTTTCATGGTAGACTTTCAAAATCAAGTACAGCCTTGGACTTAAAACCTATTGTGTTAAAATGTGTTAATAGTACTGGCAGCAGTAGTGGCAGTAGTAGTAGAAGCAGTAGTAGGAGAAGGAGGAGTATAAGCAAGTGCTTAGAGTAAGTGCTTTTTACTAGTTCAAAATGAACAAATCCATTGTGCACCACTCATTGAGCCTATCTCGAGCGTGTGGTTGTCATTGAGTTCAATGAGATGCTGCAGAACAGAGACATAGAATATACTAGAAGAGAGAAAAGACAGAGCTGTTTCTCACAGCCGTGGCAAGGCCCTGTGTTTCCATCTGCTCTTGCAACAGACGATTCCACATCTGCCTCCCAGATGTGCGGACTGGGACAGCACAGGGTCAGGGAACCCCTTCACCCTCCACGGTGCTATGTTATGTGTGTGAGTGCATTTGACATCAATATGGGAAAGTGTAGCAAACTATGTAGCACTAGGAGCCATTTTCACGGTTGGTCTTTGAAGCAGTAAAGGAGAGCGGCAATAGGAAGCCTTACCTGTGCCAAATGAAATACATTAAACTGCATGCTGACTACTGTATAGCTACTAAATGTAACCATACAAATGCAAAGATCTATTTATCATAAATCTACATTAGGCTAAAGCAAATATAGCAGGCTAAATGGGCCACAATGAGAACTACTACAATGGGGAATCACTGACAGATGTGCGTATTTCATGGCACAAAACAAAACAAGGGGAGGAATGTCCGGATTTTGGCAGATTCCAGCAACAACAGATTTAGAGTTAAGTTCATTATTTAGTTAACAAAAAAGTTGCATATCACCTTCCACTAAACTATATTAAGTGATTGATTTACAGACCTCTTTTTAATTTTTTAATAATTCAGTCTGTGATTATGACAGCATATGCTTACTTTTGTAACATTGTGTTTTTGAGTTCACCTTACTCCACAGCAAGAGAGGATGGGTCAAATGCACAAGACAATGGAGGCAATACCTTACAAATCATAGAGCATTGCACCATGATGACTCCATAAAACATCCTCTATAAAACAGGTTGGTATTTTTGGAGAGTGTATACTCCACTCAGTCTTGTCTTTGTAATGCTCTGATAAGCTGTCAGTTTTATGGCACTCTCTCCAGAATGAACAGAACTCCAGCTTCAGTTTCTTCAGCTGCACCTCTGCTACCTCCAGCTCAGCCTCCTCTGGTCATGTGGGCTCTAATTATACATATTGTCTTGAGCATTTCCTACCTAATAAAAAAGATTTACTGCAATATCCTAATGCATCAGTGTCAATAGTATAGTAGCCTATATGCATTAATTCAATATTTAGCTTGGAGCTTGCTACTCTGACATGGTCGCTATCAGTTCACACGTTGAGACTACAACTCCCTTGTCTTCTCAGCATTATTTGCATTTGGATAAGTGGAATAATGACACCAGAACTGACAAAATTATGATCATGAATAACCTAACTAAAAGCACAGAAAATGTAGCTTTTATTGGTGAGAGGTTCAAGAGTAAGGTTATGGAACCCACCTGCAATTACTGCGGGGTTGCTCTGCCCTCCTTCAGGCTTCACCCACAGCTCCAGACTGAACTTAGCCCTCGGCAACTCCAGATCAGCGTCCGGCTTGAGTCTCAGCTGCTCCCTGCCTCCGCGGAAGTACAAGGCTGTCATCCAGGATGGCGGCGGACGGGGCACCGGGCTTGCCCAGGACGAACCTCCACTCCTCCCGCTATGAAGCGCGGGCCTCGCGGATGCACCCAGGTCCTCATCTTCAACCTCTCCGGAGAAGTTTTCTTCGTCGACCGCGCCAGTGGAAGGCTGTGCGTCTCCATTCACACTATACGTGGAGGGAACGTGCAGCTGAGCGGAGACCGTGGAGCTGCGGGGGGGAGCTCCGTTCCAGCTTGAGTTCAGCTCCTCTTCGTCTTGGAGACTGCGCGTGACCCTTGAGGGGGGCATCGTTTGGCCCTGCTGCGGTGCACTGTGCCCATGATCGTGCCTTGTTTTGTCTGCGCTGCGTTTCTGAGAGTTCCTTGACCCTGGATTTCCCTGTCTGGCTTCATGTTCTCGCTGATATACGCTGTCAACCCCGCACTCTCCAGTGCACGCCGCTGGAGCGCTTCTCACAAACCCGTGAGTGCGGCTGGCCCGGGTGTTCACCGCTGGAGGGCGTTGTTGGGACGGGGACAATGAGGAGGAGAGGGAGCGGGGATGTCGCCGGGACCTCCAAACGACAGCCGCTGCGCACGGTTCACCTGTTTGACTGGAAAGTTCTCGGTCTGCACGCCTCGCCATCGCGCGCTTGTAGCGACTGAATCCGTCAGAACAAACCGGATTCAACAGCCAAGTATTAGTGACAATAACCAAAGATATGGCCAATAGTCTTAATAACAACATGTTTATTTGTTTTCCTATTGCTGTATTTCTGAGGTGAACAGCAACAGTTTTCACTAATCCATTTGAGCCATGCGATCAAGCTTGTAAGCTCTTTGGTGTTCTATAGAGAGAGACGTGGATGCTGAAGATCAAGCCAAAGGTCAGACCACATTATGAGTCCAGGTGAAGTTTTGAGAATGGCACGTAAAACACGCCGGTTTTGGCAGAAATCATGGGTAACCTGCCGGTTTTGTCGCTGTGCAGTTGCAGCTATATTCTGCACTTCTGGTTTTTATTCACACTATAGAACTTGCAAGATCACTTCCTTTTATGCACAATCCAAATAAGGAGTCCAATTTATACACTATTATTGAACAGTTAATTACGCAATAAAACCTAAATCATGTGACGCCTGTTACCTGAAAAACGAAGCATCAAAAGATGTGTCCTGCTTCAAAAATATGGCTGAAATAAAAATAAAGGTGAGAAAAAGTGAATCCCAGAGTCACAACTCCTTCATGTACAAATCCCAGACTTTACTGCAGAGTAATTAGGTTTAAAAACAGACCTAATAAAAGTATTTGACCCTGAGGTTGTGCGTCCTCGTTTGGTTGTGCGCGCCTCAAAGTGACTGGCTGATACACCGGTCCATGCAGTAGTAATATGCTCCTCCATTCACTCTTCAATCTCCCTCTCTCTCTCTCTGCAGAGTCCAAAGACTTTTTTTTTTTTTTTTTTTTTTTTTTTTTTATCAGGGAGCCCCTGCTCCCACTGTAACAGCACCGGTGCGAGGGAAGTGATGGGCTGGAGGTGGAGAGAGGGAAGGTGGGGCAGTGATGCAAAGAACTGGCTGTAACACTGCAGACTTTTACAGGGGAAATCCTTCTCTGTCTGTGTACACTGCTCATATTCAGGGCAAGAACACAGCTGAGTAAAAAGACCTATAAATATTACCAAACAAGAAAGAAATCAAAATAAACTAGAAGTACAATAAATGAATGTAAAGAATTATCTCCAATCAAATGCTGTGGAAGTGCCATTTGTTTTGTTTTATTATTTACTATGTTGTCCATGATGCCATTAAATTTGTATGAATATGTTATTATTAATATTGCAAGGTCACAGACAAAAACAAGTCTATGGTGACTATAGATTTAAAACAAAACAAAAAAAAATCTGATGATCTTTCAGATGCTGTGAGAGTGATTAAAAGCGGAGCAGTTGTTGGAGGGAGATTGCTGTTGTCTAAGTAGATTTGATTACTTCTTTACATTATTGTTGCACACTCTTCAAAGTGAAAGAGGTAAGTTCCCAGGGGCCCCCTCTTCCCCTTCTCTTGTGTTGAACTATCTCACAGCTCTCCCTCTCCTTCTCTGGCTCTCCTCACTGGTACATGGTCAGCCACATCTGCCCAACACATGAAAAGAGCTTGTGCAAGGGTTTATCATCCAAGTTTGCTACCTGCTTTGTGCCTAACTCATGTGGGCCTCGCTGGAGCCCGGGAAAATAATCCTGTGAAGGAGAACCGTGGGCAAAGAGGGGGTGAGGAGAAGGGGCAAGCTGTGCATTATATAACTGTAGAGGTATAGATAAAAGACATGTCAGAAAAATAGGGTTCCTTCACACTGGAAGACATGACTGGACTTCCAAGAAATGAAGACATATTTATGCACAATTAAGTGTAGCATGCAAATAGAAAAGACAATGTATGATACAATTAAGAAACTGTGACAGACTGAAAGAATGACTACAATTTCCCTCTCAGACAGTTTGAATCAGCTCTGTTTGAGTTGAAGGTGATCAGAGCTCTGCTCTCACACCTCCTGCACTGTGCTGCTGAACCTGAGCGCTGTTTTTCTCAGGCTCTTTGCAAACAGGCCTCGACTGCAGGAGATGGAGATGCCGGAGGAGGCCACTGGCAGTTATGGCAGGGGCCCCTGAAGGGGCAAAAAACGGTTCCTAAAGAGTGGGAGGCAGGAATTCCACAATCCCAGGCTGCCTGACTGAGGATCTGCCTGCACAACATTCAGCTTTTTCTGCTGGCAAAGAGCCTCTTTGAAATCCAGCTGCAACTGTGTTGGAAAAAAGGAAACAAGGGGACAGGGAGGGAGGGTTTGAGAGAAAGAAACCAAATGGAAGGGAAAGGGGGATGAAGGAGAAGAGACAGAGCACAAAGAGTCTGCAGTGGCCTGTGCACAGGGCTCTGAATGGGCCTCACCCCCCACTGTACAGGACCTCCACAGATTATCCCTCATGTGAGCGTGTGGGTCCTGACCTCGCCAACCCCAGACCTGCTGCCAGTTTTCACTCTCTCTCTAACTTGTCCACACACTTGCGTCTCCATGTCCTTTTGTACTCTGCACCTCAAACCTTCCTCTATAGGTGTGCCTCCACACTCGAGAGGGTCCAGCAGCAGCAAATCTCAGCTGATGTGCAGGACAAATGAGGTGGGGAAGAAAGAGGCACAGGACTCTTTTTAACACAGGCACAGAATGAAGAGGGCCAGAGGGGGCAAAACACAGTATACATATCCCCCCCTATGTGGCAGGTGGTTTGGTTACCAATGGTTAAAAAGTTTTGCTTAAGTGTTCAGAGGAAGGGCTACTGACTAAAATGACATCCTGTTACGTCCACAAGATCAATACCTACTGACCAACATGACTAATCTGATCCATTCTAATACATTGCAGACATTTCATGGTGGTCTCTCCTTGCAAATTAATTTCCATTTTAAATGCATCGTGTAATTTTCCTCTTGCTGAAAATTGTGTGCTCTGCAACACATAAACTCTTTCCAAAAACAAAAACAAGGGAAAATTGCTTAGGACCCCTTATTTGCCCTTGTGGAGGTGAACTAGGAAAAGCCAGTAGCTACTGGACTCACTGTGAGTGTGAATATGTTGGAACTCCTTAGGTTTTATTTGTGGAGCTGCAGGTGGATGTTTGAATGACAAGACAGTGTTTTTGTTGGCACAGAGCCTGCCCGGGCTGCGTTTGGTGGATCTGACCTGCCGACCCACCTGCCGCTATTTGATGTAAAGGAATATAATCTGATCCTGGGCAAAAAAGAAAAACACAGAGACACAGTGTTGTATATTTCTGAGGTACGTGGAAATTATAATATTCCACTAGAGTTTCTGAGCTCCATATAGTGCCCCTTTATGTTCTGGGAGTGGGTAAAGCAATAGGTTTATCATATTAAGAAAGAAATGAGAAAATAAACATGACTTTTTCACAGAGGAAAATATTCCTGTGGGACTACTTCATTTTTTTACTTTTGACTTTGACTTTTTTTTTTTTTTTTTTGATTATGAAGACAATAGTTAGACTGTAGCTAGTTATGTGTTGTCAAAAATGGTTCACAAATATTTAACAAATGTGCATATTTTCAATATATTTTCATATTATTTTATATATTCAATATATTTTTTGTATAATTATATAATTGTATAATGAATAGGCCTATATGAAATAATCAAAATAAAATAAAACACTAACCTACTTACAAAAATACATAGGCCTAGTATGCATTTTATGTCTTTTATTATTTATTATTCATATGTTGTAGGCCTAGATTCAAAATTAATACATCACGTAATTATAAGATTATCATGGTATAAACATTGGTTCAAGATTTATCAATGTATTTTTACTCCAATCCACGAGAGGTCGACATTTAACGATAAGACCAGAGCTGCGCACCTGGTCAACAACAGAGTAAACTCCAGAGCCTCTTGTAGCTACAGAAGCAGCCGGCTAATCTCTTGGACAACGCAGTAAAACTAATGCTTATTTTATTTTTCTAACGTTTCGATTTTCTGTGTCGTTCTGTTGTTTTGATTTGAGTCATTCCTGTTGTTGCGCCAGTGCTACGGATCAGGCAAATGCGTTTCATCTGAATTTCTCTGGATGTTTTGGACACAGTTCAATCTCAGTAATGTTAGCATACAAACAAGCTAGTTAGCCAATTGCTGGAACTTAGCGACCAGACATCGGTGCAGCCCGGATGGTTTAGACAGCAAGAAAGCGCATCTGTGGGAGTTTTAGTCGGCCTTGCATCATGTCGAGCAACCGACCGCAGCAAAACGCCGGAGGAGCGAGCTCAGTGCCCGGGACCAGCAGCAGCAGCAGCAGCAGTGGGGGAGGCACCGGGAGCTCCAACCCCGGCGGAGGTGGCAGCAACTCGGTCACGAGTAACGGGAACAGCTCTCCAAATGTGGTGCCCACCTCTCGGAACTTGGCATCACCAGCAGCCGGCAGTGACAGCGGCTTGTCCGTGCCAAACTTGTCCGCCGTGCCGTCACCCAGGCCCGGGTTTGCTTCACTAAACAGACCCTCTGCTTCTACAAGTAGCAGAAAGAGGTCTCTCCACCAAGCTCCTCTTTACAACGGACTATTAAACTCATACGAGGATAAAAGTAACGATTTTGTTTGGTGAGTATAACCTAGGCACGGGTGACAGATGCTCTGAAAGACTTGAGTTCATGTTTTAATGTCGTTTCAATTTCACAGCCCTATTTGTTTCGAAATGATTGAAGAAGCACACATGACAAAGTGTGGGCACAGTTTTTGGTAAGTGTCAGTCCCTGCAAAACAAAATAATGAAGGAAGTAGCTGCACATTTGTTGCTGTTGTTGCTGTTGCTATGCATTGATTACCAAGAAAAAAATGTTTTACAGTTTCAAATGCATACGGCGAAGTTTGGAGGACAGCAACAGGTGTCCAAAGTGTAACTATATTGTTGATAATGTGGATCAGTTGTACCCAAACTTTCTTGGTAAGTTGTAAACATTATAGATGCATATTTACTTTATATAATTTTATTTTTTGTTTCTTTTATTGTCATTTTATCAGCTGTATGTGGACATGTATTTTGTACGTTATCTTCTATCTTCTTTACTGTTATCTTGCAGTAAATGAGCTGATTCTTAAACAGAAGCAAAGATCAGAGGAGAAACGACTGAAACTAGATCATCCTGTGAGTTGACATCATATTGTATATGCAGTATCCCCTTTACCTGCTTTTTCTGACACTGATAATACTTTGTGGCCTGCAGAATGGGTCCAGGTGGCAGGTCTTCCAGGACGTTCTGAGTCCAGACCAGGAGAACCTTGATCTAGCAAATGTGAATCTGATGCTGGAGCTCCTGGTTCAGAAGAAAAAACAACTTGAGGCGGTAAGAAGTGGAGAACTGGGAATTTGATAAACTCATTAGAAGAACAAACTCAACATTGAAGTTGGAAGTCTAGCTGTAAACGTTACTCTTTATTTTAGCTTTTTCACTCTTCCTCTTTTTGTGTCATCAAGAGGAACTTTCAAAACTTTTCTCAATAACAAGTATTGAGTTGAATGCCTTTTTATTGTAATAGAGATGTCAGTATGTAAAAAAAGCAATTTTAAATCAAGCTGCAAAACTGCCAAAAAACACATTACCTTTAGGATTACTTTTTGAAGTGATCAAAATGACATTGCATATCACAATTATAATCTTTTAGTCCTTACACCTACATTGTGACCTGAATAATCATGATTATCAATTAGCTGAATAATCTTGACATCCCTAGTTTGCAGCATTTTCCCTGTTATGGCTTCTCTTGTTGGTTTTCTGATTTTAGTCAATGTTAGTACTGCGTGCATGGAAACAGCAGGGAAGCGAATGTCTTTTAGGAGCCATCACACTGTCTTTTTCCAATAGGAATCTCAAGCAGCGCAAAGACAAATCCTCATGGAGTTTCTCAAAGAAGCGAGGAGAAACAAGAGAGAGGTACTTTTATGTTTGTGTGTTAGTTTGAAATAATTAATTCAAGGCAAATTATAATCTTTACTCGTCATTCTATGAACAGCAACTAGAGCAACTGCAGAAAGAGCTCAACTTTCTTGAAGAGGACATCAAACGTGTTGAGGTATATCAAGCAATCCTGTCTTATATAGAAACAATTTTGTAAAGTTTGTACATTTGAGCCGTCATATTTATTGTGCTAATTAACATCTGTGTCCACTTTTCCAGGAGATGAGTGGGTTGTATTCTCCGCTGATGGAGGCAGATGGCACAGTGCCTAATGTGGAGGCTCCCTCTCCAGCTCCCAGGTACAGTGCAGCAAATTATAGCTTTGGAAAATCAGTACTCTTCAATTATCATCTATTCCTGTACAGTGTGTATCTCATGTTGCTTATTTTAAACTTGACATTTTGGTTCTTTTTTTTCTTACAGTTGTAGTATTATTGATACACCAGATTATAATCAGCCTCCAGGGTTTGGTGCTTCGACACAGGGTAAAAGACAGACTTGGTACAACAGCACACTGGCATCAAGAAGAAAGAGACTGACGGCACATTTTGAGGATTTGGAGCAGTGCTACTTCTCCAACAAAATGTCCAGAATTACAGGTATGGATCCTATTGTTAACATAAGTTCATTTTTTAAAAGTTTATTTCAGGGCAATTTGTTAATATGACACCAGTTGTAGTAATAAAAATCTACATTTTATTATTTTTGTCAGATGAAGGCAGGAATCTGAACCAGCTAGATGACTTTATGGAATGTCTATCAAAGTTCACCCGCTACAACTCCGTTCGGCCCCTGGCCACCCTTTCCTATGCCAGTGACCTCTATAATGGCTCTAGTATTGTGTCCAGGTAAGAAAGAGTAGTGTCTAGTTGAACATCTTGACATTACATTTGAAAGTGAAAGTGACATCTGTGTTTGTTTTTAGTATTGAGTTTGACCGTGACTGTGACTATTTTGCCATTGCCGGAGTGACCAAGAAAATAAAGGTCTTTGAATATGGCACTGTGATCCAAGATGCAGTAGATATTCACTACCCAGTCAATGAAATGACCTGCAATTCTAAAATCAGGTAAAATGTGGCAACTGGCAAAAATATTAAGAATATATTGTCAATAGAAATGGTCTAATTTTTTCTTGTCCACTAGCTGTATCAGCTGGAGCAGCTATCATAAGAACCTTCTAGCCAGCAGTGACTATGAGGGTACTGTCATCCTGTGGGATGGATTTACCGGCCAGAGGTCCAAAGTCTACCAGGTATATACAGTACATTTGACTTACTTTTGGAAAATCCATTTTTTTGGGTCAGTTCTAAAATGTTCTTTATAATATCCAGGAACACGAGAAAAGGTGTTGGAGTGTTGACTTCAATCTGATGGACCCCAAGCTATTAGCCTCAGGTTCAGATGATGCTAAAGGTAAGTTGGGGTTGAATCCCGTACTTCAAATACTTGCTTACTGAAGTTATTATCTTTTTTTAGTGAAGTTATGGTCGACGAATCTTGACAACTCAGTGGCCAGTATTGAAGCCAAGGCAAATGTCTGCTGTGTTAAATTCAGTCCAACCTCCAGATACCACCTGGCCTTTGGATGTGCAGGTGAGCAGAGTTCCTGTTGGTTGGCTACAATGTGTTTTATTTCATTCTTCCAAAGTTACGCAGACTAACCATAGAATCAAATTAAAAAGGGTTAGGGTAACCTAGCTGCTTCCTTGATAGTTTGATAGTTATACAGTAGTACAAATAAATACAGTTCTGTAAATTCTAAATATTACTAATGGATTTGGCACTGGGTCAAACTGGGAAAGTGCCTAAAGAATGTTTTATTCTCTTGACAGACCACTGTGTTCACTACTATGATCTACGTAACACTAAGCAGCCAATCATGGTGTTCAAAGGCCACAGAAAGGCTGTGTCTTATGCCAAGTTTGTAAATGGAGATGAAATTGTCTCTGCGTAAGTATTGCTTTTCCCCAAACCTAAATATTTATTACTTTTGGCTAAAATTCTTCTTTGAACCTTGCAGATCTACAGACAGTCAGCTAAAGTTGTGGAACGTCAACAAAACCCATTGTCTGCGCTCATTTAAGGGGCACATCAATGAGAAGAACTTTGTTGGTCTGGCTTCCAATGGAGACTATGTGGCTTGTGGTAAGTGTTTACTTAAAAAGAAAATCATCCTGAGATATTGGCAAATCTCAGTCTAATCATTTGGGGTTGTGTTTTTCCCTGCAGGCAGCGAAAACAACTCCCTGTACTTATACTACAAAGGACTTTCAAAAACACTGCTAACGTTTAAATTTGACACAGTGAAAAGTGTTTTGGACAAAGATAAGAAAGAAGACGACACAAACGAGTTTGTCAGTGCTGTCTGTTGGAGGGCCTTGCCAGACGGAGTGAGTTGACATACATTTTTGAGATATTAAAAGATGGATACGCATTTTGTGTAACACCAATTCACTGAACTTTATTTTCAGGAGTCAAACGTGTTAATCGCTGCAAACAGTCAGGGAACAATCAAGGTTTGTCTTTTTATTTTGTTTATCAATGAAATACTGTCTCTGGTAAATGCTCAGATTAAAATCTCCCTTTAAGGCTAGATGATGATCTTAATGTTATGACCTTAATCTTGCAACATAAGACCTTTATTCAGGAGTTTAAAATGGAAACAACCACTGACCATAAAACTACTCAGAACAGCCTGTTATCGTAAAATGTCAATACTTAATCCAGCTTTTCTGTTTTCACAGGTACTCGAGCTTGTATGAAGACCCACATCTGAATTTACAAGTTCTCAATATACATCAGCCTCTACAGGAAAAGTTTTTGGGCAACCACAGCCCTCAAAAGCAGAAACTGAAGATGCTGCCAGAACAGCTGCTGTGATCAGAGTTGTCCTATTTTAATAAGCTTGAAGATCACAACATCAGAAAATTTAGAGGAACCAACTTGAACCCATTCAGAACAAAAGACTTTGAAAAGCATTTGTTTTGTAAAGCTATATCAGCACCAGTATAACTCCTCTTTGTGGTTTTAGGTCAAATTCTCCGCTATGTACTTTTTAATAAAGCTCTTGATCTTAAGGGTGCATCTTCCAAATCCCATAATGATTGATGCACCAACCTCTTTTAAAGGCCAAAGCACAACATACAGAAATTATGTGTCTATGTGAAGTTTTAATCTCCCCTTTGTCTGTTCACTATGTTTATTCTTTGTATGTACAATACTTCTGCGTTCTTTTTCAGTACAGGAGAAACCAGTTTTAATAAATATAATTTGAATTTCCCTCTGTTCAGTGTATATTAAGTAATTGTCTCAGTTAAAGCCATATCCCGTTTAATGGAGATGAAATTAATACAAGCCTGAACATCTCATACTTTTGTTTGTGTGTAACAAATACCGAAACACCATTTTAGTAGCAGTCGGGTGTAGTAGTTGTATAACTTGAAAATAATTTCAAGTCATAGCTTTTGTTCAGATGAATATTAGGAAAGACTGGTCTGTTTTATGATCAAATGAGGTGTTTTGTACCTGTATCTTAATAAATTATTTGTAAATCACAGTTGGCTTTGACTCGTTGCTATAGGTGGTTGTAGTATAACATAATTATTACATATATCGAACTTAATTAACGATCCACGACACTCGGGTCTCCTGCTGTTCTCGATCTCGGCATACAAACCGGAACCTTTGTTTCTCTTTGGCGGCGGAACTTGTTAGCTGTGGGACCATGGACAACTAGCTTGTTAGCGGCCGATGGAAACAAAACCCTCTCAAAGGAAGTTCTTGTAACCTAGTCAATCCTAATCTGAATCCAGCCATTTTTGTAGTAAAAAAACTATTCAAAGGGATTTACGAGTTATTAATTTGACTGTAAAACTGGGAAATTTGCTGCGAAGATGGGAGTCCCTAAATTTTACCGATGGATTTCGGAGCGCTACCCGTGTCTGAGTGAAGTTGTGAAAGAACATCAGGTAACACTGAATAAATAAAAACCTCTCTGTAGATTCAAAGTCTCTGTGTCTTAGTGGTTTGCCTATTAATAAAAGTAGAAGTATATAGTTTTATATTAACGCTGGTTTATTGTGTTGGTTTCTTTCAGCATCACGACTAAAGGGCTCTATAGAGTACCACACATTATTGTCAATATCAAAAGGGCACATAAAGGTTAGCCTTACAGCGCTTGATGAGATCATGTTTACTAACCATAAAATAGGCCCCTTAACATTAAAGCAACAGTGCTCGAGGAGTAAACAAAAATAAATACACCGTGTCAGCAAGCCGCCCTGTAAGTGAGCGCTAAGAGGTGGTCATCAAATCCCATCGTATCTATGAGATTAACTACAGTCCAAAGACTTCTATCTGTAAACTTAATTCGGAAAGTTAATGTAAAAATATCAAATTATCAATAAATAAGTCAAATTAAATTGATTTATCTTAAAGCGCGAGAATGTGTAACCAAAGCAGCTGTTTCATCAGCTGTGTTATGTCAATTTCACCAAGTTGCGTAAGGCGGTTATTTGTATAATGTTGTTGTGTTCAGTTTGCACTGTTTTACATTTGATCCCATTATTTATTGATATTGAACTGCAGTGCATTGTTTTTTGTTTCAGATTAAATCAAGACTCCAATAAGACAAAAGTCATTTATTATAAGCAAATATGAACCAGATTTTTGCATTATTTGACTGTATTATACACAGTAATTTGATGATTGATGTCCATTTCCCTTTGTTCATTATTTTACTTAGATTCCTGAATTCGACAATTTGTATTTGGACATGAATGGCATCATTCACCAGTGCTCCCACCCAAACGACGAGGATGTCCACTTCCGAATCTCTGAAGAAAAGATTTTTGCAGATATCTTCCATTATCTGGAGGTGCTCTTCAGGATCATCAAGCCACGCAAGGTGTTCTTCATGGCTGTGGACGGTGTGGCTCCAAGGGCAAAGATGAACCAGCAGAGAGGACGGAGATTCAGGTAGAGCACAGACAATCCAGTTCACCACCTCACACATTCATTTATGTAATGTTTTTGCTTTTGGTTTTAATACACTTTTTTAATTATGAATCTTGTGTTAAAAAAAAAAAAAAGACAAAAAACACTGCTTTCTGTTGACTCCCCCTTCTTTATTTGCCCCTGTGTCTTTATGTCTTGTCTCTGTGCCTGATTGTATGAATCATGCAGGTCAGCCAAAGAGGCAGAAGACAAGATTAAAAAAGCTTTAGAGAAAGGAGAAGTCCTGCCCACAGAGGCTCGCTTTGACTCCAACTGCATCACTCCGGGTATGAGAATGAACTGTATGGTTTTATTAGCCTTGAATCTAAATGATTCTATTTTGATATTAGTTTAAATAATGCGTAATAGTAATAATCACATAAAAATAACTTAATATGTAAGCAAGTTTAAATTTTTCATGTGTTGTTAGGACCTTATTTACCGCTGCCATTAACTTGAAAAATTTAACACTGGCTTATGTTCCAGGGACTGATTTTATGGTTAGACTACAAGAGCAGCTCAAATATTTTGTCCACAGTAAGATTTCTACTGACAAACTTTGGCAAAAGGTCAAAGTGTACCTCTCTGGGCATGAGGTGGGTGTCAACTTAATGTTAATTGTTTTGATATAGACTGTACTGACTTCACATCGGCATACTCCATTTCTTTATTTAGACTCCTGGAGAAGGTGAACACAAAATCATGGAGTTCATTAGATCTGAAAATGCAAAGCCAAGTCATGACCCCAACACCCGACACTGCTTGTATGGCCTGGACGCTGACTTGGTATATTATTGTTTGGGAGTATTTTATTGTATCCTTTTTCAGACTAAATGTAACATTTCATGTGTTTCCTGTGTGGCAGATAATTCTGGGTTTGACCAGCCATGAACACAACTTTTCGCTGCTCAGAGAAGAGGTCCGCTTTGGAGGCAAGAAATCTCAGAAAAGGTTAGTGCCTAGGATAATACAATTTAATGTAATTAATCTTTTTTATTTGTAACAAATTTCAACTGTACATTTTTAGAATTACTGCTCCAGAGGAGACAACATTTCATTTGCTCCACTTGTCTCTGATGAGAGAATATATTGATTATGAGTTTTCTGGGTTAAAGGTAATAATTTACAAATTAAAATTGTGGCATGACCCATGGCACCTTTAAAGAGCTATGCTCCTAATAATATGTAATAACATTTGCTGTCATGTTATTATCACATTGTATTTTTCTTAAATCTATTAGGAACATTTAGGTTCTAAATATGATTTGGAGAGAATAATAGACGACTGGATTTTAATGGGGTTTCTTGTGGGAAATGATTTCATTCCTCACCTCCCCAATCTTCACATCAATCATGACGCGCTGCCAATGTTGTACAAGACATACATCAGTGTGCTTCCCAGTGTAGGGGGATATCTGAATGAAAATGGCCACTTGAACCTTCGAAACTTTGAGAAGTATGTGGAGAAGCTTTCTGAGGTGAGATATTTCTACTATGACTATGACTGTCTATTTTGATAGAAGTTAAACCATTAAGCTAAGAAAAGACATGTTTATATGTGGAAAATGTAATAAAAAAATGTCATATTTATATTTCAGTTTGACAGAGAACATTTCAGTGAGGTGTTTGTAGACTTGAAGTGGTTTGAAAGCAAAGTGGGCAACAAGTATCTGAATGAGGCAGCTGGTCTGGCTGCTGAGGAGGAGGCTTCTGGCAGTAACACCAACGAGAAGGTACAAAAGGTGCACAAGATCAAAGGAAATCCTTTGCTTCCTGTGTAATAAATAACTCATTGTTTTCATAGATTCGAGCCCTGGTAGACATGACCTCACAGCAGAGACCAATCGGAGGAGGGAAAAATGCTCAGGCAGATGATGAGGAAGAGGAGGATGATCTCTTTGAAACTGAGTTCAGACAATACAAACGCACCTACTACATGACCAAGATGGGCGTGGATGTAGTGTCTGAGTGAGTGTTTAGCAAGATCATCATAACTGTGGATTAGAAGCGAAAAAGTAACTGTAACCATGTCCATTTTTGTGTAGTGAGTTCCTTGCTGACCAGGCAAAGGGCTATGTTGAAGGACTCCAGTGGATTTTACACTATTATTACCATGGTGTTCAGTCTTGGAGCTGGTGAGTTATCAGTTACGTGCTTCTGTATAAATTCATTAGAAGAAAAGGAAATACAAATTATTAATACTTACTGGTGACCTTATTCTCAGTCCTCTTTGTTCATTAAGTTATGCCTTGGATTAATTTTAGCCTTGTTTTTGTTGTCAAATGATAGAAAATCATCAGAAAAAAAAAACATGCAATACATTTGTTATAGTTGTTGAATGGGTGAAATTGACATGTCATTTAATGTATATACCTTTGTTAACTTGCGCTTTCTCTTTTAGGTATTATCCCTATCACTATGCCCCTTTTCTCTCTGACATAAAGAACATATCTGAGTTGAAGTTGACCTTTGACCTGGGAAAGCCCTTCATGCCTTTCCAACAGCTGTTAGCAGTTTTACCCGCAGCTAGTAAAGAGCTGCTACCAGAGTGCTACAGGGTAAATAAATATAAATACTGTAGCACGTATGCATTTTTATTGTATTACTTGGTGTTATATTACTATTTTATATTTTGTATATTATTTTACTGTAGTTCCTTATGACCAGTGAGTTTTCCCCTATTTTTGAGTACTACCCTTTGGATTTCAAAACTGATTTGAATGGAAAACAACAGGAGTGGGAGGCTGTTGTGCTCATTCCCTTTATTGACGAGGTACACCCAGATTTTAAGTACAAGGTCAAATTGATTCATTTCGTTTCAGCTCGTTTTTAATTAATATGTATTTGGAAATGTATTCAACAGAGACGGCTGTTAGCAGCGATGGAGCCTTGCAATGAAAAGCTGACCAAAGCAGAGAAAGCCAGGAACCGCCATACTGAATGTGCTGTGTACATGTACGACAAGGAGAGCGAGTTCACATACGCCTCCAGTCTGCCCCAGATGTTTCCTGATATAATTCACTGTCGTGTTAGGTATTTACACTTAACACAAAATTATAATCACCATACAAAAGGTCACACAGAGTAGATCATATGGGTATTGTATACTCTTAACAGGCAACAGACTATTGCTATGGATGCTTGGCATGTACCATTGGATCATGTCAGCAGGCGTGTTGACCGCTCAGCCCTCTACTTCTGTGGTTTCCCAACGCTACAGCACATCCCACATAAGGTAGGAGTCATTATTTTGTACAAGGGCTGCAACTAGCATTATTTTCTTAGCCGACTATTCAAATATCTCATCTAAAATAAATATCTAATCTAAAATAAAACACAAATAATAAGATAAGATTGATTAGCCACTGTTACTTATTGCAGGCCTATTTTGTACATTGAGTCATGCCTTATATCTTTTGTTTTCAATTCTATTTTTCAGTTTTATAAGAAGAAGAGTGGAGTGGTTGTATTCCAGCAGAGCAGCAGAGGGGAGAACATGATGCTGGAAATCCTTTCAAACAAAGATGGAGAAGCAGTGAGATAAAATTTCTACTTCTGCAACTGTAACCTTTATTATTCTAATGATTCATATTCATATTCCTGTGTTATTGCATTCTCAGATATGTGACAATGTTGCTGCCGATGTATTGGGCAAGGCCATATTTGTGAACTGGCCCCATCTAGAGGAGGCACGGGTTGTTGCAGTATCTGATGGAGAGACCAAGTATGTAGAGACACCTGGAAATACTTGCTGTATACACTATATTTCAAGTAACATTACTACATAATTGCAGTTGTGACCACACATATAAAGGAACTGCCTTCAAATATATTGAGAAAGAAGTTTAATGTAAATGTTATTTTATAGGTTCTCTCTGGAAGAATCTCCAGGTATCCAGAAAGTGTATAACAGACCCTCCACTCCACCTCCCACCAAAGTGTCACGCCTGTCTGATAAAGAGCAGAAAGACTGGGTAAAAGACGTTCAGGGAATCACAGAACAGTAAGTCAAAATGTACATCTTATATCAATGACCAGTGATGGGAAGAATAATGTAGTTAGTTAGAGAATACTGAATACCTGCATTGAAATGTTTTTTTTATTTATATATATATTCTGATACATAGTCCAAGCAGAGTATTGTATTCTGAATGCTTAGAATACTTTTAAATCAGGTTATATTGAAATAATATTGTAACAACACAATATTAAAATCAGCTTTTTGTTTGTTTCACCATTTGTTATGCATTTGTCTGTCACTAGCTGGAGAAGTTAAAATCACACATCTGCACACTTTAAGAGAATTTTTTTTTAATTATTATTATTTTTCTTATCTTATTATTATTCTCACTAGTTATGTGTCGTTTGATGCCTAAATTGTGTGATGAGGTACCACCATGTATTCCTTTTGATTTTAGAAAAGTAACTGTATTCTGAATACCACCAAATGAAAAAGTAACTATACCAATATGCAGTTACTCAAAATTTGTATTCTGAATATGTATTCTCACTGCATGTATTCAGTTACTTCCCAACACTGTCAATGACATGTTTTGGGTTTATGCCTATTATAAACACAGTACATCTTTTACATAGTTACCTGAAGAGAAAAGGCATTGTGACAAATGAGATCGACGTGGTTGTGTATGGCCAGCTACTGACAGGAAGAAAGTTTGTCCCTAAAGCCAATGGGCTTGTTGAGCTGGAGAAACAGTGGGCCAAGCAGATTTTGCCTTTTCCCTACCAGGCTGTTGTCAAGGTAACTTATATAAGCATGCTTTCTGTGTTTTTGTATTGTGGAGTTTCATATGTAGCTATAACCATTTTAAAATGTATTTATAGGAAATAAGGGCCTTCTACTCATCTTTAACAAACTTCACCAGCCTGGATGATCTCTTTCCCCCATCTACTGCAGTCTTCATGGTTGGAAATCCCTACTATGGTGCTATGGGAGAGGTTAATGACTAATTGTCTATTGTACTATTAAACTAATTTATAAGCAAATTCAATATTAATATGTGCAATGTTTTATGTCTTATCATAGGTGCAAGACTCTAGTGATGTCATCAAAGATGGACGGGTGCGAGTTGTGTTCAGCCTGCCACACGAGCCACAGCTTGACACTTTAATACAAAACCAGCATGTATGTAATGCAGTGTTTAAATTCACAGCCAAAAAAGTGAAATGCATTAGCTTACAGTGTATATATTGCCTTTTGTAGAAATACTGTGTGAAGTACAGTCCTGGCTATGTTCTGGCCTCTCGTCTTGGGATCACCAGCTACCTCGTATCCCGCTTTTCAGGGAGCATCTTCATTGGCAGAGGTTCAAAGAAAAAGTAAGTGTGTTTTTGAGCATGCTTTATTGTTTATGATGAATTGTATCACTATAAATTTTTCCTTTCATCTCACGTAGTCCCTGTGGAGAGCAAAGAGCCAATATTGGTCTAAACCTTAAGTTCAACAAGAAGAATGAGGAAGTTCCAGGCTACACCAAAAAGACAGAGAAAGAGTGGCTGTACTCTGCTGCTGTGGAGGAACTGCTGGCTGAATATTTGGACAGGTCATTTTTTTCCATTTTATCATTCATATTTTTATTCATGCCATAACTGCAAATTGTCTAAATATAAATTTGATTGTAAAATAGGTTTTCTGAGGTTTTCACAGCGGTATCAAGAAACTCTCATGATGATGTCTTCTATGAGGATGACATCTGGCCTGGAGAAGATCAGAATGGGTAAAACCACATCCAGCCTAAGTGATTCCATCTAGTGCAGATTTTGAACAAATGTTGTAATAAATAATAAATATGTGCGCAGAGCTGAGAAAGTGGCAGAGATCACAGCCTGGTTGAAGAGTCACCCAGTAAGTTCCATGAGCAGAGCATCATGTGACCTTCAAGTACTGGACTCGGCCATTGTTGAGAAGATCGAGGAGGCAGTGGAAAAGACCAAGGTTGGAAATATATTAATTTCATATCAGTCCATGGCATTTCCATCTATATTAACATTTGTTCTCTGTCAGGTCAAAAAGAGCACTCGCAAAGTTCGTGTGACAGTGAAACCTCATCTACTCTTTAGGGTAGGTCACATCTGATTATTATGAATATATATATATATATATATATATATATATATATATATTTTTTTTTTATGTATTTGTGCAGCACTTTGGAAACAGTTTGTTTGTGAAATGTGCTATATAAATAAAGTGGATTGGATTGGATTGGATATTTATTTATATAGAAAAGCATTCACAATACTGGACCAATTATGATTCTTTAATTTTTCATGTGTGATTTCCTGGCAGCCCCTGGAGCAGCAGCAGGGCGTGGTGCCTGACCCAGAGGCGGAGTATCGGCTGTTCGATCGAGTGGTGAATGTCAGGGAGGGTTTCTCTGTGCCACTGGGGCTCAGAGGAACTGTTATTGGTATCAAAGGAGGTGAGCACAAAAACACTCACAATCACATGTAAATAACTTGTAATATGTTTGAACCTGTCTTTGTTTAATCCATGTAAAGCTGAAAAGGAGGCAGATGTTCTTTATGAAGTGTTGTTTGATGAAGAATTCACTGGTGGTCTTACCCTCAGGTGGGTGACTAGTGAGGTGGGTACATGAACTAATAGACCGACAACTCTGTATTACACACGTTTCTGTCCTTTCAGATGTACGTCACCTCGGGGGTACCGCCTGCCTCCCTGCGCCCTCATAAACCTGTCCCATGGAGCACGAGTAGACCACACATCAGGCAAGCTCACTGCCATCGTCAAACCTCAGCCTTCATCTACTCCCAACAACTCCAACAGACAGCTGGGAGGCCTCAACCACTCCCCAAGATCCCCCTTCATACCCACACAAGTAAGCCCCGGCTCAGGTCTATAACTACTGATCAGATCCAATCCAATATTCTCGAATGCACATGCTGGTGACCAGGTCAGAATGATGGTTTATGCTCAGTATCTGTGTAATTACTAGGCCTATCCACATAAAACTTTAATTTTAACTTTTATTTTAACTTTAACTTAAAAAAGTGTAAAAGTCATCTGGACAGGAAGTAGAAACGAATGAATTCCTAAACATATTTTTTCTTTTTCTTTTAGCATAACAACAAACATGGCATGAGAGGTTCACCTCAAGGCAAAAGGGACTCTCCAAAACTGCTTCAAAAGCAAACCAAGGTCAACTCAAATACTATGATAACTATAAATATAACTATACAAAACACAGTCTGTATTCATATTATTGGTCTGTTCTCCAGAGTAAGGATGAGTACAGCAATGTGTGGCAGTCTTTGCGGAACTCTGGACCACCAAACAAACCCCCTGCTCACTGGCAAAATGATGTAAGCCTATTAAAAAGTGTCAAATATAAAAAGTTCATTGAATCTACATAGATAAAGTGACTATATATTCGATATTACCAGGCCCGAGCTGGTGGCATCAGACTGCTAAAGAAAAACGAAGATGCTACCTCCATTTTGCCCACACAAAACACCAACAAGGTATTTTCTCACATTTACTTTATATACAATTACATTTGAGGTTTATTCAAAATTTATTTTATCCTTATTTAGACCTCCACTGACTTTGAGAGCCTTTTGGCTAACCTGAAGATTTCAACTCCAAAAGAGCCAACTGCACCTTCAACTGCTCCTGCTCAACCATCTACAAGCCAATCAGATGAACCATTATCGCCGCAGTCATTTGCAATGGTGAAAATTGAACTGTCCATGTTTGATGTTGGTTATGTCTCTATGTTGTATAACCTGTTGTACTGTTTTATAGAAGGGGACCATGGTGCTGAAGGAGATGCTGAAGATTGACAGTGCATCAGATTCTGCCCAGTCTGATGGACAGCAGCAAAACAGGAGACGGTCATCTAAGAAATTAGGTTAAAACACAATCGAAAGCACACCTGAACTAAACACAGAAACTGGCATTGTGGTATTATAAATTATACATAGAATGACTCACAACATTCATATAACTTTCTTTTTTTTCATTTAGCTGCAAAAATCAATGCGCCACATGTGGACAGTCCTCCCACAACCTCAGCTCCTATGGCAAACCAGCACCCCATGCTGAACAGTAAGGTGTCTGAGCTGGCCTGTGTGTGTGTGGGGCTGGGCATGGCACCTCCTGAGTTCAGCTTCATCGGAAACAGACAGGTACAACAATATGAAACCAGGGCATTGCTCATTCAAAGTGTTTTATGGTGTGAATGCTTTGACAGTTGATGCATTTGTCTTGACAGGGTGTAGTGTGTCAGGTGAAGCTGTCCAATGGGCTGATGGTGCACGGACCTCAGTGCCAGTCGGAAAATGATGCCAAGGAGAATGCAGCCTTCTTCGCTCTTCAAAGACTGGTACTTGCAAGTTGATAGTTATGAAACCATAATAATCTATAATCCATAATGCTAATATTTTGTGCTTTAAATAATATTTTTGCTTTTCATTTTCTTCAGAACTCAGTGGGCTCAGGTTTACCTCTGCCTCCTCCTGCTCTCTACCCTGGGATACCGCAGATCAGACCGCCACCTTTAGGTCCCATGAATCCAATGTTCAACAAACCAGGTTAGTGTCATGTAACTTTACAATTGCCTATGATGGCTTTTATATATTTCCCATGCTTTGTAGTCATGACATTTTCAGTGATTCTAACGGGGGAGGTGGAAATGATCTATGCAGTCTTGAACCAGAAGTCAGTGGTCCTATTTCTGTTATTTTAGATGAATATAGTGTGTTTTAAAACTCACTCAAAATCTAAAATATTATTTATGATCTTTGGTCACCGTGGATTTTATCTGTATACCAGAAAAAAGCAAGATGTCTTTTTAAATATGGATTCTTACTTTACATTTAATTTTGAATGTGTTCTTAAAATACTTTGTTTTCTCTTGTGTAGGTTTGCTGTTGCCTCCACAGGGCTATGGCCCCGCTCATCTCTGGGGGATGGCCATGCCGCCTCATCACCCACAAAACCCACAGTTTTATGGAGCAACCGGAACTTACCCTGGAGCGGTCCGCCCTCCACCCCCAGCTACTGCTCCCATTGGATCTCACAACCAGTTCATCCCACTGCAGGTAACTAAAGAAATGCAGAAAATGCCTACATTTTGCTGCAAGCTACATGGTACAATCATTTAAAGTTACTCTATATATTGAGATAATTCAAAATGTTCAACTGTCTGGCAAAACTGAAAGATAATCTATATAATGGTTATCAAACTTTTCACACATTGCCACCTAACATAATGTTTAGGTATCAGATCTAAACCAGGACTATACTTGACTTATATTAGGGGTAAACTTGTATTAAACTGAGACTAAATTCATGAATAAGGTAGTTCTAACAAAATGAGGACAAAAACAGTAATAGATTTATCTCTACATGTACACAGTTTAAGAACCACTGATCTAGATGATTTGGGAGAGATCATATGCAAATTTGCAACACATTTCTGCAAACAAACGTTTAATGAGTCATGAAAAGCTTAAAAAAAAACATTTGTTGATACACTAGTTAATCCTATATTTCTTCTTCAGGTGACGAAAAAGAGAGTTTCAGCCAACAAGAAAAACCAGGACAGAGAGTTTTACAGCGCAGCCCAAACGGTCGCCAGAAACCAAACTCAGAAATCCCCAAATCCACCTGTAGACCAGCCACAAGGGCAAAGAAATGTGCCAGCAGAGAACAGCCAGTCCAGTGCATCTATAGCAGCACCCCAGACTCCACCCAGACAAAACCCTCCGCCCTCTGGCCACACCCCTGGCTCTGCCTCCAAGAGGAAACACAGAAAACTGGCGGTAAACTTCGAGGCTGCGAAAGTGGCAGAGTCGTAAGCTCCAATAACAGGGGTTTGAGACAGGTGCTGCTCAAACTTATGAAAGAGTGAACTGAAATTAGTGTGATTGTCCATAGCCTCCATAGCCTATTGTCAGTGTATGGAACATATTATGGTAACAATGCACAAGGAGATGATAATATTCACAATATAAAAATATAGTATTTTTCACAAAAACTTATCAGTACCTAACTATCCCAATTGCTTGCTTATCGTTTAAATGATGCTTTAAATTATATTTGTGGTGTACAGAATAATGATATGGGAACTCAAAGAAAGGTAATAAGTGAAGTGTCTTTGTGCCTTTTAACTAAATAGAACTACATGTACTTGTACTATACAATATTGGCTCTTTTACTTCTCTTAAATACAACTTGGATATTTCACTAACAGTCTCCAGTTCACTTCAATTGCATTTGAAGTTTACCAATCTGAACTGACAAAACCAATTCCATGTTGCCTTTTCGTCTATTCACAGGTGTTGTCAAAAGGAAGTTATAGGAGAGGGTTGCCAAAAAACTTTTTTTTGTTGTTGTTGAAGGCATTTCCTAGCAGCTCATCATTAAATAATACTGCCTTGTTTTAGGAACCAAATTATGCAACAGTAAAAGCGGACCTTGAGTGGACAGCCTAATATGAAAGAAATTTGTGCAATACATGCATGCAAGAGAAATCATTTAACTGTAGGCTCTGTTATGATTGTCTTTTTATTTTTTGTTTAGGTCCATGTAATTGTAATTACGCACCTTTTTAAATGTGTTGTTTTCATGGATAACTCTAGGTGGCGCTATGGGCATGTAGACACTTTTTGGCTCTCATTATGTTGTGTTGCTGTTTCAGTTTGGCGCTCTCAGGGACATGGTAGTAGCCCTTTTAAATGAAACCATAAAGGGTAGGAATGAATGACTGGGTTGGATTATGTGTTTCAAACTACATTTAGTTTTTACTGGACTGTATCAGCAGAGTATTTATTGTGTATAAGATGGGTCTCCGATCATGGCTGATATTTGTACATAATGGTCACAGTTATCTGAGCTGTGCTATATTTTAAAATAGCCTAATTGGTTAGGCCAATGTTAGTTTATTATTTGTTTTTGACTCTTCCATTTGACCCCTTTTGACCCATTTTTTCCCTGAGACACCTGCCTTTATTGTATTTGTATTTTTTACAAAGAGTAGCACACAAGACACCTCTTTATACCAACTGAAATTCCATAAGAACCCTATTTAAGCATCTTTGATCTAAATTTGAAAAACTACAGGATTGGCTAGTTAATAGGCTGACATTACACAGGTGCAGAAATGAGATTCTTAGACTTGTACTTTTCATTTAAATTTTAACTGTATTCATTGGGCTCTTTTTCATATAGTTCGTAAATATTTAAATCTGGAATTATTAAATGATTTTTATTAAAGTTTAAATCTGTCATTTTAGGAATTGAAGCTCTGAATTTTGAGTCTTAATAGGAATTAAATTATATTTTTGTATCTGTGTAACTGAAGCCAAAGATGACACATAATGTAATCTATGTCACCAATAAATGTACTTGGCATTACAATTGATCTGTTTAATTTTTTAAATTCAAAGGATATGGGTTTTATCTTCTCTTTTATAAATTGCCATCAGATATTTTCTTAAACATTATTTGAATTAAGTTTGGAAACTACACAGATGGAGTCTGTTGTAGCAATAAATAATAACATTTTAATTTGTCCTCATTTTGAGAGACTCTGACTGAAATGTTTTTGCTTTTTTAAGCTTAATAATTTAATGTCTTTTGCTCTTTGAGGCTCTGGTGCAATAAGGGAGAATTTATTGATTTGAACATAGGTAGAAGCACACAAGAGAAGATGATTGTCTCCCACATAATGTACTTGATGTAATAAATTAGGATTGTGCTGTATATATCCATTAATAAAGTGGTTCTCTTTTGTTATAACGTGTCTTTTGTATTTCAACATTTTTGCCACAATTGTGCTACAATTGTGGCCATACCGCCTTGTAAAAACCTGATCCTGTCAGATCTCAGAAGCTAAGCAGGCTGGGCCTGGGTAGTACTTGGAGAATTCCAGGTGCCACAGTGGGGCGCCAGTGGCAAAAAACTGTCGTTGTGTCCTTAGGCAAGACACTTCACCCACATTGTCTAGTATGAAAGTGGTGTGAGCGTGAGTGATGGTGGTGGTCGGAGGGGCCGATGGTGCACATTGGCAGCCTCGCTTCCGTCAGTCTGCCCCAGGGCAGCTGTGGCTACAGTGGTAGCTTACCACCACTGAGTGTGGAGTGACTGAATAATGAACTGTAAAGCTCTGGGTATCTTCAAAGGCGCTGTATAAATGCTATCAATCAATCAATCAACAATAATTATAATGTGAATAAATATATATCTGAATGGCTTTAGATACTGGCCACTGCAGACTAATCACTACAGTTTTGAAGATGCAAGTTCCCAGTCTACTAGATGTGAAAACTTCATTTAATATCATTACCATACTGTTAACTTTCAAAGCCACAAAAACAGGATTAAATTAAATTAAAGTGTATTCACAGTATCTCTGCTAACCCTGCTATTGTTTGCCCTATTATGTACCGGATCTTAAGTAGGCTGGAGTATTCTGAATGAAAAATATTCACCCCCTTAAAAAATACAAAATAAAAACATTTATTCATAAAGCACCATCTATCAGTACAAAAGATTTCATGTCATCCCACAAAACAAAAGAAAAGCTGTGTAGAGTGAACTAATACTGTGTAAGTCAAGACACAAATGTAGTGCCAATATCTATCCTATTTGAAAATAGGGAAAGAAAAATTGTCTGTTACAGTGTACACTTTACAAAACCTACATAATACAAAAATAGCACTGAACAGTATATACATGGTCAACAAATATGTCAACTGAGGAGTGGGGGAATTGTCAAACTACTTTACTTATAAGATAAATAAAAGCAAAGTGTTTTTTCTCAAGCGAAACTAAAACAGTTAGCAATTAGTGTAAGCAGCAGGAGAGTTCAGCAGATTCCATCATCCAGATTTCCATACTTTGTTCATTCAATACCATGCGACTTAAAGTACAAACAACAAACAACTGTTAAACACCAACATAGTTGAAACCAAATGGGATAGTGTCTTATCCTTATAATGAAAAATGCAGAAATCAGATTACATTGGACAACCCAGCTGTCGGACTAAAGTTTTACACTCACTCACTCTCAGATACGTCTGTAAACTGGTTCATAAAAGTATGAAAAGTGTGAATTTGTGTAATTAGTGTAACAACCTAGCAAAAACGACATTAAGACACAAGACTAAAAGCATAGATGAGCAGCTGACAAACAAATACTCAATAAACAAATAAGCAATAAGACCTCTCTACACGAGTAACTCTTATGTACTGGCAGTGAATCACATTGATAAAATAAAGGCAAGTTAAGGCAAGTTACATTGAGGGCTTTACAAGATGGGCTGAACCATGTTAGCCTGTTTGTAATGACTGTAAAGCTGCAGTAAATATAGTTTGTTACACTCTGTGCAAGACGTCATCACATAACAAAATGGGAGAGGTAATGCATTTTCCAATTAACTATACTCATAATGGACAAAACTAAACAAGACAGCATCTAGCTACAACAACAAGACAAGACAGTATGGAATTTAATACTGATAATTATAGAAAAAATAGGCCTAGATAAAAAAAAAGTAGTTATTAAAAGTCACTGTAGTTCTGTGATGCTATACTTCTACATTAGTAACCACCTTGAGAAGTGCCCTTTCACTTGTCCCTCGTGTCAACAAACAGTGTCATTTTGTACAGAGTATGTGCCTGAATTTGTTGAATAAATGTGGTTTACTTCATGGAGCTCCATTCTGTCTGTATTTCAGTGTTCAGGTCCTTTTGGGGTTATTGTGGCCCACATAGGTGTTTTCTATACAAAGCACGATATAGTGGTTGGAGCAGGCGCGTGTGTGTTGTCCCAGGAGACGTCCCGACTGGAGCAGAGCAGCCTGTCCGGTCACCGCCATGTCCGCTGTCCTCCAGGCCTCACAGTAGTTTGTAGTCAGTCTGATGCCCACCGGACTGGAGCCATGCCAAATCAACTTCTCCGGCCTAAAAAGAAAGACAACATTTTAGACACTCTTGCAAACTTTTCTGGTAGGTGGAATCTGAATTGGTTTAGTATGTAAAATTTAGTTACTGGGATGTTGTTCTTCTGAATATCATTAAGTTATGAAGAAACAAGTTTGTTTTGTTTTTTTTATTAGTTTTTGGACATATTATTTGGTGAAAATTAAACACTGATTATTAGTGATACTGGGCTGATTTGCATAAGGTGCAAGTCCTGGATTGATTGTTATATTCAACCGTGCAATTTCAATAATGTACTTAATCATTCCACTTATTCACTGATGTCGCATTAATTGTATAAAAAGAGACATTACATTTAGATACACAATACATTACATAGATTTTCTTGTTTTTTCCGGTTGTAATATGTTGGCACTATTAATCTTCCAAACTCTCTCTCCCTGTGTCGCAATTCATAAAAATATGTAGATCACAAGAAAACATAAGAAAGTAATATGGTGTTATTGCATTTATTATCACTTATTTCACTGAGTAGTCCCTCCATGTCCATGTCCCTCTTCTACAATGGCCTCAAATGTTATGTGCATAATCACAGTTTCCTTGTTTCCTGGTAAAAGGTGAATTGTGTAAATTTTCTGGTGGAGGGTCCATCACCTGCTTGTTTCTATGGATATGTCATTGCTCTACCTGGAATGTCCACCAGTATGATATTAAACAGCTTTACATTAAATTTATTCAATTACAGGTAATTTTATAGCTCAAAAACACAAAGAAAAACAGTCATTCTGACTGTGAGCGGGGTTGCCTCTCCACAGATCTGACCTGTAACTTGGTCTGGTTTGGCCTCCATGAAGACAGAAAGGTTTAATACCATACTGTGAAACATTCCAGACAAAGCAATAACATCTCCATGAAGAAAAGCATTTGACGGACCCTCCACCAGAAAAGTTACACAAAGCACTTTTAGGTAGTATTTAAAAATAATTTAGTCATGTACTCACCATGCAGGGTCAGTTAGAACATTGCGCCCATCAAAGGAGTAAATGGGGACAGAGGGGTTGAAGACTCCTCCGTTCCCAGAGAAGATAGACGCCCAGCTGTCGAATAAGACCTCTCCCTGAGCAGAGACGGACAGGTGAACTTAGCGGACCCTTCAGCACTTAACATATCATCTATCACGACAGCTCAATTTACTGGAACACATTACATAGTCATGTCAGAGGAGAAATACTGCCTCTGCATCCTGGGCCAAGATTCAGATAAACTACATATCTGCTTAGGCCTATATAACATGTACTGGCAACTGATGTTTAACTGTGTATCATCTTCCAATTTAACACTTGAATAATTGAATTGCAAGTTATATATATTATAAAATAAATATATTATATATATATATATATTATAAAAAGTCTGTTAATGTCTGAATACACATCACATAGTATAGTGCAAAGACATCTTTGTACAAATGAAATGAAATTAAAACTGGAAGGAAATATATATATATATATATATATATATATATATATATATATATATACACACGCTACATACATTATTTAAACAAATGCAGTTTCAAAAGTCATAGCTCACCCTCATATTGACCACGGGCATGTCATTGCGGTCTGCCTTTCTGACTATAGTGGCCAGGTCCTGGAGGTGAGAGGAGAGGAAGGCTCTGTACGTGGTGGTCAGCCCCATGGAGCGAGCCTGCTGGTAGCACTGGAAGTCTGCCCCCCTGATGCCCCGCATGTCCCCCTTCAGTGGTGTGTTCAGAGCGACCAGATGAAGCTAAGAGAGAGAATAAACGAAACAAAGAATGAATGAACATAGCAGTCCAAGTCTTACAGCTAATTTATCACAAAACAGTCCAAAGAATATCATCTGCTTTGGTTTCTCATACTAATGTTTCTTCACTCACTCCTGGGACTGCGTTGAAGGTCTGTGGCAGCACATTATAGCTGGGCTGGTAGCCCCTGTCACCCTCCTGCAGCTCCTGTGGTGGATATATTAGTTTATAATAAGTTAGTATTTTCTTTTGTATTTTAAATATTACTGTGCATTATGAGTGTGTGTGTGTGTGTGTGCACCTGGCTATGGATCCTAGGAGGTCTGCTCCAGTCCCCAGGTCGACTCAAAGCCTGTGACGCAGCGGAAGATGAATGGATCAACTCTCCAAGCTAAAACATGAACAGGAAATTAAGCATGTGTGCGACAAACCAATATACATGTATCATATTACAACAAAGACATGTATTATCAAGAAGGTTATTCACACCTGTATTTTTTTCCAGCCATGGCGTGTCCTGATGTATAGCTCCCCACCCCTCTCTGATACATAGGCTAGTGTTCCCTCGGCAGCTCGCTGGGTCTCTCTGCTCAGAGCGTGAAGGCTCTTATATGTTGTGATCTGAAATACACAATTATTTTAACTTTAAAGTTGCAATACAATATATATTTCTTTAGTGCCAGTCTAGAAAAAAGCCTCTGTACCGGGTTGGTATATCCTGGAGTCCCGGGAGGACCAGGAGGACCAGGTGGGCCAGGAACAGTGACTGATGAAAAACAAAGCAAATGCTTAAATATTTCACAGATTCATGTTCACTCACATAGTGGTATGTCTTTTTACCTGATCCATAGGAAAAGGCTGACCCTGAAGGTCCTGGAGGCCCTGGAGGACCTCTCGCACCTGGGCGTCCAATCCCTGCTGTACCAGGCAGACCTGGAGGACCAACAGGACCTGGAGGACCCACCACAGACTCACCCTTTGGACCCTAGAAACACATATGTTGTGACTAAAAGTGTTATGACCACATGTGGCCACATGACCACTCAGACACAAACTCATATAACTCATTATTATGTCCAGTCCACAAAGACTCACCACCAGTCCTGATCGTCCTGGCAACCCTGGAGGACCAGGAGGGCCCGTGTCACCCTTCTCTCCTTTCTGCCCTCTGTAGCCCTCCTCTCCCTTTTCACCTCGACGCAGCTAAAGACCAAAGATGTTGTAATTAAGTATGAGTAACACAACTTTACACTTATTATGAATACATCACAAATGACTCACCTCGGCTCCATCTGGAAGACCTGATTTACATAAAAATAAACACATGCTGAGTCTTTGACAAACTGTATTTTGTTGAGTGATACAGTACAATATAATATCTAATAATATAATCACCAAATACAGCAGGCTCCCCAGGTAATCCTGCCTCTCCTTTGTCTCCTTTAGTGCCCACTGAATACGAGCCCTTTAGACAGAGGATTTAATGAATTAATCATTTGTTCTATTTGAAGCACATGCAGATTTAGGTTTACATAAACACAAGTGTTACACACAACAGTTTATTCCCACAAGCTTAAAACAAGGACAATTACTCTTGTTATGTATTAAAAAAAAGGGGTTGGGTAGATTTGTTACGGACACTGATGTTATCAATCATTTATCTCAAAGAGTAACAAAAGTCTTTGGTTCTTGTCATAAAGGTATAAATAAAGGCATTTTTTTTATTTCCATGGGGAGGTGGTTTATACAAATACTACTATCATACATTCTACCAAGGTTTTGTTACTCCAAGGCTCTTGGAAGCATTGCGATGAGAAACAATTGTAGACATATAATTGACATATAGGCACAGGCAATAAACTTAACAAAAGCAAGAAAGCACACACATCATCCCACCAGCCCATCACCACAAGAGGATACACCATAGGAAAGTACAAGGCCAAAAGATTCACACCGTTTCACTACAGAGTACATATGAATCTGTCCTCTTGGTAAATTCACTCCGGTGCAGATAATACTGTACATACAGGAGCACTACTGTAATGTATCAACTGCACCTTTTGTAATGATACAAAACAAGAAAAAAAACTTGCAAAAAACTCTGCATTAATAAAACAGTTGCACCACACCCAAACTGTTAATGCATTGTCTGTCTGATGCCAAAAGACCAGAATAAAAGAAACGGATAAAGAAGCATTAGAAGTAAAAGGTTAAAGCTGAGACGGGGCTGCATAGGTCCTGTTAGCTACCATGCGTTTGCACCCACACACCCACAGAGCCACTCTGACTGGTGCTCCTATGTAAAGGCTCAGTCAGGTGGTCTGGTCTGGACTTACTCGGCCCGGTTTGCAGTGCGGTCGGGGGCGCACGGGGAACACTGTCTTTAGAATTCAAAGAAGAGCAGCGCAATCAGACCGAGTCATTGTAACAAAAGCATTTTTAACGAATCACTTTTTTCTTTCTTCACATTTTCTGAGTTTCACCAGCTTCATCCACTGCTTATAATTACTATATGTATTAGAATAATGTGAAACTTACCCCATTCAAACCAAAAATCCTTCCTGGGGGTCCAGGTGGGCCAGGAGGACCAGGTGGGCCCTAGAAATAGAATTTAAACATTAATTTGACTAAAATATTCACATAGGTTCAGTAAAATCTATACAGCCTGTATGGTCCTTACTGGTGGGCCAGGAGAATCCCCTTTCTCTCCTTTTCTTCCAGGAACACCAGGCCGTCCCTTCAAAGAAAGACAAATGTGTTTATCAATTAAGAGCTTGTTCATTTATTTTTTATTTTTCCTGATATTTGCTAATCAAAGGCAATGCCAGAAGTATCATTGAGCATCATTAAGAGCAAGATTTCCAAACAGAAACAATCTGATGAGCTACAGGTACTCACTGAACGACCAGGGAATCCATACTCTCCTTTTTGTCCCGGTGGTCCGATTGGTCCCTGAATATATGTCACAAACATAGTTTAAAAAATATACATAAACAAATAAGTATATGTTGTGAATGCTTCAATGAATGAAGTATGGACCCACCATAAGTCCTGTGGGGCCTGGCAAGCCACGATCACCCTGCACCATTACAAAACAGTACACCAGTAAGTTCTGATTTGTTTTTTATCCAATGATGAAATGTAGTATTGAGCAAATCAAATGAAGTATCTTGCCTTCACTCCCTTAGGCCCAATAGGACCTCTTGGAGATGAAATGACAGATCCATCAGCAGCGATTGTTACTCCTGGCTCCCCTTTCTCTCCCTTAAGCCCTGGTAAACCCTGAACTCCTTGATTGCCCATGTCTCCCTTTGGTCCCCGAGGTCCCTGAAAAATAATAGTACAATATTAAGTATAAGCTTATAGGGGCATTTGATCTGACATTGAATATGTTAATACAATAGAGAACTATACAGACAATGAATCTCAATACATAACACACTTACAGGAAATCCAGCTCTGCCAGGCAAACCCTCTGGTCCCTGTTGAGATAGTGGGGCAAGGCAAAGTCAAGTTATTAGCGTACAGAAGCAAGAAACTAGTGTCATGATGTATAGTGTCCTAGTATCTATGATGCTTCTACCCCATGTCTGAACGTACCACAGGTCCAGGTGGTCCTTTGATCACAGTGAAGTTATACAGCCCATCTGTAAAATTGAAGAGAAACTGTAGATGCAGAAAGAGTCGCTGTTAATCACTTTGGCTCATAACTGTAATTATACATATATAATTGCCTGCTAAATTTCATGCACTTACCTCTTCCATATTTATAACTGGCCCAGGAGGCCCGGGAGGTCCGGGAGGTCCTGTGATACTGAGTCCATCATTGCCGGGCTCTCCCTGAGGGAACAAAGGAGTTAAAGTGCATAGTTTGAGCATTAATCTGTAATTTATATTGCCCAGTAAGATACAATTACTTTTACCTTTAGTCCTGGGCTGCCCTTTTCTCCTTTAGCCCCCTGTAAATGTTTGTAAACATTCAGGTTGTTAGATGACAAAACTTATTAATAAAACAAAGGATCAGTTGGACATCTTACCCTCGCCCCGGGTAGTCCAGCCAGACCTTGAATACCGGGTGGACCTGTGTCTCCTGCCTCTCCCTGAGACATATAACATGGATATTTTATTGGTTTAAGGTTTAAATAGTTTTTTTTTTATCAAATTAAATAAATTCTTAAAAATGTATTTATTTAGACGAACAGAACATCACCAAACCTTTACTGAGAGTCCTGGGGCACCTGGGGCTCCATCCTCCCCCTGTCAATAAAACAGTTTCTTTATAACAAAGGAGTCATTTCTACTTTTTTAAGCTCTAAGCATCATTGTGCAAGACATATGTAAGATGATGATGATGATGATGTCAATCTAACAACAGTAGCTAAAATACAGCTTATAGCTTTTCATACCTTTGGCCCTCTGGGACCAGGTAGACCTGGAGAACCCTGAATAAAAATAAAAAAAAATACTGTCATATTCATTTTCATTGTCATGAAAATTGTCATATTCAAATTTGTGGTAAGAAACAGGGTTTCTTTACTGACCTGAGGTCCTCTGAATCCAGCACTAATCAGCATATCACTCTTTCCTGAGCCCTCCATATCCTGAAACATATGAATGGATGACTTTACATTATAGCATTGTATGCCATATTAAACTACTTGACTGACTAGATCCAGAGTTACCTCTACAAAGTACTTAGATCCTGGTGGTCCTGGAGGCCCTGGTGGCCCTGGGGGGCCCACTGGTCCCCTCTGTCCAGGGGGACCTCTAGGACCTTCAAGTCCTTTGGCGCCAGTGCTGCCTATTGACCCACATTCACCCTGCAAAACAGGAGAAATACAGTACATTCATAAACAACATGAAAGCACCCAATTGCTTTTTAAGTGCTTTTTAAAATGTATTCATGTTTACCTTTGGTCCAGGTAAGCCGGTCAATCCTTGGTCACCCTAAGAATAACCGTATAAGAATAAGTATTGGTCACACAGAACTAACAGTTTAAGATATATGGTTATCAAAGGTGATGTTTTCACAGTGAGGCTATGTCAATACTAATGTTTTATGTGTTATTGGAGGTATGGTGAAATTACTTTCTGTCCCTTTTGTCCTGGCACACCCGGAGCACCGTCTTTTCCTGCTGTTCCCTGGGAAAAACAAACAAATCAATCTACATAAAACCCACATAAATCATTGCTGTGTGCATGACCAAGCATTAGTATAAGCCTCATTCCAAAATGCAAAGTTTCAAGGGTCACTGTATAATTTTCATCAGTGATCCTTCAAGCTTTGATTCTGATTCAGCAGACCATATAAATAACAAATTTTATATTTTCTAAAAAGGCAGATAATTTCCTTGGCCATGTTGCATTTAAGCTTAAAATAGTTGTTATACAACTGTTATAAGCAAGGTATATTTTCAGTTCAGCCTCGCCTCTTCATTAAAAAAAAAAAAAAACATAATTAAAATAAGTTGGACCAAACATGAACTGAAAGTAACACTGAATAATGCAAGCAGATCAAGTACATCAGCAGCACAGGTAGAAGGAGAAAATGGCAGCCAGTGAAACAACATAGCCACGGATATACAGCCCAAAGCTGAGCATGAAGGCAAAATGTTTTATGTCCTCATAAAAATTATGATACTGCCTCAATGCTAGTTTTGAGTGTAACCTGCCTTTTGTGTTTGCTGACAACAGCAAACCAGGGCAATATACCTCGCCTGAACCTGAAGTGGACCCAAAGTCAAACTCAGAACTCAAGGCAAAAGAGGGTTCAGAGCTGAACCCAGAACTGGACCCAGATCCCAGGTCTGAGTCCAGTCCAGGAGCCAGCCCTGAGCTCTGGCCTGACTCTCCGGAGCCAGAGCCACTAAACCAATCCTCCACAATCTGCAATAGAGTGGAGAGTTGAGATACACACTGAGACAACTGAGGCTGAGAAAACACAGTTCTAATGATTTAATATTAAAGATTTCAGTGAAAATGGGCTGCATTGTCTTTTCTATCAGAGAAACGTACTGGTATTCCAGGTCTTCCTTGTAAACCATCTTTTCCAGGGGCCCCTGGAGGTCCAGGGGAGAGTCCCTCTATATTAGGAAGTGTGTGGGGTGCAGGAGGGCCAGGAGGGCCCGGTGGTCCTGGTGGGCCAGGAGGTCCCTATAAGAAAAAAACATTTATTTAACATCACTACAAGCTTCCATTGAAGATGAGATGAAGTGAACAACATACCCTGATGACTTCAGTGTCCATGTCGAGGTCTCCAAATCCAGAACCCAGTGCATCATTTCCATACTACAATACAAACACTGTGACCCTCAAATCCAACGATCTCATTTTTAGTGCATACTGTTTAATGATACATACTGGTACACTGTGTGATCTGGGCGGTCCAGGTGGCCCTGGGAGGCCAGGTGGCCCAGGTAAACCCAGTCCTGGATCTCCCTAAAGTATAGTATATAAAAGATGTCATACAGGGTACTATATAGTACTGTACTAAGCAAGTGTGTTACATTATTTGCATGAAAGACACACCTTCGCTCCTTTGGCTCCAGTTTCTCCGGGTAAGCCTATTGTTCCCTGAGTCCCTCTCTGACCCTGAAGTGAAATTTTATTTATTTAATTTCATAAAGAAATCAACAACACAAACAATTTGTAAGAAAAACATACTTGATCTCCCTTTTCTCCTTTGGTTCCCTGAAACATGAGTGATGACATAAAAGAAAAACATTATTAAACTCTCAGCAACCTGTTTCTCCTCAAATCTTTGCATACAGCACCTGCTCGCCATCTCTCCCAGGAAACCCTGGTAGTCCTGGGGCCCCTGTGGGTCCTTGAGGGCCACGGGGTCCTGGTTGGCCTTTTCCTGGAGCTAAAGAGGACCCAGGGGGACCAGGAGGACCGGGCAGCCCCCGGGGCCCTGGCTCCCCCCTCTCTCCTTTCAGTCTGTGGCCTCCCTCTTCGGCCTCTTTAATTCTATGAGAATCTGCAAAAGACAAAGCACAATATGAAGTTTATCCAATAACAACAAAAGTCATATGACATAACAACTTACAATGTGACATATTTGGTTAATATTGCATGATTTAGAAGGAATCACCTCTCAGATGTTTGGTGCTCTCAGTGGGAGTCAGCTGACCAGAGTATCCATCTAGTTCAGTCTCTGGGGCCTCGGTGGGTGGGGCACTCACTGGAACACTATCCTCCTGTTTAAGACAGAATGAAATCTGTTAAAAAGGTCTTATAGACAATGTAGATTACCATCACTAGCAACAGCAGCTATTTGCTGTAAACTTGTATTTGAAAACACAAGTGCCTGTTATGTTATCAGTTTTAGACTCATTTAACATTGTTAAGGACAGTCCAGCACCTGTTTGTAATACACTGAAGGATAAGTATCTTACTTAAATATACATCATCTTAAATGGCCTAAGTCTTTGCAAAATTAAAATCTCACAAACTGGACAGAAATGTGACCTTGACTTCTCCATATCTGGGAACATTTATTTTGTTTATGGAGGCAAATTTCTTTTGAAGTTCCAAAGACCCTGATGATTACGAGATGTGAGGTCAGGCTGACTTCCTCACAGAAGGAGGATGAAAGGCCTAGAAATGCTTGAAGATGGGAATGTTTGGGTCTGTCTGGAGAACAACACAGGGTTGAGCATCAAACGGGGCTAACAACAAATCTCTAATATGCAATACAAAGCTGTATGAACTGGTAGCTGTATTCTTTTTGCCAACAAAACTGAACCAGCTACATACAACAATTTGTATCCAGAGACACAATAGCATGTACACTCAAACGCAAACTTAACCCACTCCATCAATGCAATAGTGAGGCAACATCAATATTTCAAATGTAATAGTTTCAATATAAGGAGGAGATATGGTTCTTGGGCCTACCTGTGCTGAGGTGGGTTTCCTTCTCTGTGAGTTCTTCTTTACCTCCTCCTCTGTCTCCCTATCATCCAAAGAATCATCACCACTGGAGAACCCTGAGGCCTTGAGTCAAATAATAATAATGTGAGATTATTAGAAGGCATTTCAAATTTATCCTATGTTTCAGAACCTTTGGAAAATAAAACACAACATTAAACTACACACAAGCAGACTCATTTAATGTATAATTTTATTGACCACAAGTAGTGCTATTGATCTTATGTTTGGAACTCCATGTTTGGATAGGAAATACATACATAAGGATCATCATCTTCACACTGCTCCTCCGCAGCTCTAGGGTCGTCTCTTATCACGAGCTGCTGAATAGACCCCTGGGAGAAAATGGAAAACAATAATTTCTAATGCATAAACAAAAACTAAAGAAAAAAATGTATGTAGAGGTCCCTTACTGTCCAATCCATAATACACAAGCATTCAAATTTAATTGATCAACTTGTAGCGACTCACATGCTACTAAACCCTGATCAAGAGTTAAGACCAGAAAGACTGTATGAAAAATCTTTTATGAATGCCACTTTATTTGATGAAGCTAATTTGGCTGCTTTGAATCGATTCAATCATTCTTTTGTAAAAAACAATTTAGGTTATTTGGCAATGGCTTACCACAAACTTGTCAAGGCCAGTGCTTCCTGCATTGCCCACAAAAATGCCTGAATTATGTGAAAATGTGAGTCTGTCTGGTCTGCGCTGGAAGGTGGTCCTCTCTGCTTCACCACAGTCCATGTAGAGACGCACCTCTTCATGCTCCACAACCAACTTCAAGCCACATCACATAGTTTTAGTTATTCATTTACTGGATTCATATTTCATATATTTTTTATCTAATATTTTGTTTGCTCACTGTAAATCGCGTCCACTGGTCTGTCATGTCCTGTACAGTGAAAGCAGCTGCTTTGTGGCTGTGAGCAGCGTGTTCTCTGTCCGTGTAGTACAACAGGATGCTCTGGAGGCCCTCACGCACTGGAGTGAGGGCCAGCCCCAGCTCCACCACCTTCTGATGGGCATCTGTGATGGCAAACAGCACACCTCCTCTCAAGGTCGTTGGTCGAATCTGAGTAAAATGACAAGTGTGTCTAGTGTTGCAGTATTCCAGTTAACCACGAGATGGCAGCAGAGTGCAATAAACAACAGAACATTTCTGGTTTACTCATAGCAATAGACTAATCTATTTATTATACATGGGTGAAATTACTAAAAGTTATATTTCCTTTTCATTTCCTTTCTTCTCTTAATGAAAACAATTTTGCAGTCCCCCAGAAATGTGCTAAAATTAGGCCATTGTAATTCATGTACCCCACAAAAATTCAATAGACTATAAAATAAAAAATAAAAACTTATATCTAATGGATTTATAAATTTTTTTTTAAATTTTGATATTAGAAAGTTTTATGAGTGATAGTTTAAAATTACCGTGACAATGATGGCGAAGTCCCTGTAGAATGGGCCAGGGATGAAAGTCTTGGTGAGCCGCCCGATGTTGGCTTCAGGCCCAAAGTTGTACGCTGGGAAACCTTCAAAACCAGGAGCAAAGGAAACAGAGGGAGGAAGAGGGACCCCTATCAACTCAGTCAGGTCCAAGTGTCCCCCAGAGCCTCGTTCTGATGTAGAGAGGGAGAAAAAAAAGAATTTTAAAATCTGTTTATTCGCTAAAATTTACAGAAGAAAGGCGGAAGTAAATGTAAATTATATTATATTACAATATTCTTAAATCTATGTAAAGTCTTTAATCAGTAGGCCATGTGAGACTGCTATTTATGTTTGAGTTGCTGTATGCCAATTTAAATTGAGCAAAACAGCATTCAGTGAAGTGTGGAAATTGTAGCTGATATACTTCATGTATTAGTTTTAACTTTAGTAAACTATTTCAGAAGAAATATTTCTTCTCATCCTCAATTAGCCTCGCATGAAATGCATCAGGGAAAAAACAAACAAACAGCGCTTATAGAAACCCCTATAGTCCGGTCATTACGACAGTGATGCTAGTGAATCCACCTGTCATGATCCTAATTGAATAGATTTGGAGCCGGCTACACTTGAGTGCACTGGTCCACATGGATATAATCCCTCATAACAGACACAGGCCATGACACAAGGAGTGTTCAGTTTTTATGCAGACAGCAACCATGTTCTCTAGACAATAAAATAATTAGCCATGAAAACAAAACAAAGCAAAAAAAAAGTATCGTATGTAAATAGATAAAACAACAATTCTCCCCTACAGTAACATCTGTGAATCCTCAAGAAAATAAAGCAGCATAATAGACCATACACGTTTTTAAACAATTAACAGATAAAAAAAAAGTCCCATTTCAGTTGTTTAATAGTTTGTGATAAGGATTTAGGAGGAGCACAAAGCAAAAGTGAAATTTTGTTTGTTGATTTGTAGCATCATGTTGAGATCGTTGAAGATAACTATATTTAACTGTGGTGGTAAAAAGTTCGGATATAGCATTTCCTATGATCAAACAAGTATGACGTAAATAATCTGTGGCAATAAAAGTGTGTGTTGCACAAAAGTTTCGAGGGTTCTTCTGGTTTGGTCCCCGTCTGTAATTAGCTATGATCAGGAAAAAACATGCAGCTGTGTGAATAAAACAGTGCAAAGGAAGTTTCTGCCGGCGCGATTATGGTCCACGGATAAAGGTAAAAGTGCAAAGTCATCACTTCTTAATTAATTTACTAGGTGATGGCTTTTGTGAAAAAACAAACAAAAAAACAAACTTCTAACCATAGGTTTTTAGCCATCACTGTAAGAAAGTTTGAAAAAGTGCCAGCATTTAATAACTTTACACTCCTACTCCTAAACTTAATACCAGTCATGTTGCCTGATCAGCATGTGGAGACTTATAGTATGAGTATATACAATAGCATACTCCTGTGTTGAGAAGTGTATTAAACCTAGTTCTAGCCCAGCATGCTGCACAATGTATTACTGCTAACCGGCTTTGTTCCAATTGGATTTAGTGGAGAGAACATCTGGCAACATCTGCGCTGCATACCACCAGCAGGAACAGAAATAGCCAATCACTGTACTCTTCTTTGCAGAGATATGCCTGTGCATCACAGAGTTACACTTGAGATAGTGAAGAACAGTTGGATAATGGAAGACAACCGCTGACAAATTTATCATTGTGGTGGACCTGTCTAGATCGTCAACCTTCACTAATTTGGGATCTTGGCTGTTAGGGACAAGTAAAACCTGCTTTTCCTATAAATACAGACCTCTGGCAGCACTCACAATTATAGTCAGAAAACCTTTCAACCATTCTCTTCCATATTCTCATAAGAGCCACAGAATAGCATACAGATGACCTCCTAATCAGGTCAACTTTTTCTGGTTTAATAATGATGTAATAAATAATCAAAATAAATTATGCTCATTCTCCAAAACGTGTGTGTCTCTTAGCACATGGGATAGAACATAAGCAGGACTGAATCAAACCTACAGTGTCTTAATAAGTAAGATAAATCAAGACACAAATGTAAAAAAAAAAAAATTGAAACCAGCCAGGAGTGGATCAGTAGCCTACATACTAGGGATGTGCAAATATTTCAGTTACAATTATGATTACTGCTCTTATCATTAGCAAAAACAGTAACATTAATAACTATGTGCACCAATGCCTGTACCTTTATACTTGTAAAGTACATTTACAGTCTGTGTCTGTAAGATACATCACCTACTTTCATTTCATTTTAGGCGCAATGGTACCTTATCTCTAAGTCATTTGTTTCAATAATTGTGATTTCAATTATGCTTTAAATAACTGTGATTATTATTTTTTCTATAACTGAGCACCTCTACTCTATACCACAATGATACTGCAGTGCACTATGACTCACCACTTTTCCAGTGCTTTAGTGGTTTGTAAGTGTTTTTAGACTTGCTGCTTCCATTGCCCTCTGGAGGTGAGAGCCAGGACTGAGTCGTGCTCTGCTCAGCCTCTGACACTGTAAGGATGGTCGGGCTCTCTGTTTGCATGCTGCTCCACACTGCTCCCCCAGTCACCTGCTCCTCTACACCCCAAATAGTAGTCTCCTTTGGGTCATCCAGGCTGCTGTTGGATGGAGAGAGAGTGGAAGTGGAAGGAGGAGAGGTGGTAGACTTGGCTTTAGGGTTGGCCCAAATGAAGGTCCACCATTGGGTTTGTACCGGTGAACAGAGTATGAAGAAGACAGCAAAGAAAAAGCTGAGAGCTGCCATATCCTAACACAAAATGCTCCTTATTATGCAAAAATCTAGACAACTAAAAGTTAGCATTAGCAGCTCAGGATGCGTCCAGGTTCTCCAAAGTTCTCAAAAAGTCAAAATCTCTGCATAAATAGCTGCCAGGATTCTCCAACTCCTTGAGTTTTTCTATACGATCCCTATAGCTTTATTGTCCCTTTCCCCATTTGGCGTTGGTAGCTGCTTGCCATCTCATTCCCTACTCTGCCCATGTGTAATTACCGACTCCCCCTCTGGCCACAGCACACTTGATTTTCTCTCCCTCTTTAGCCTCAGACGGCAGATTAGAGGCCATTCACCACTCCTCCCTTGTCTTCCTCTTCTCACACCTCCTACTATGTACCATGAGGCCGACCCACTTCTATGTCTGTGGACACATATATGCAGCAGTGTTGTTAAAATAAATATAATAAGCCATCACAGTACATCAAATACAGCAGGCCTTGTTTATGCAGCTCAACATCTATCACAGTGATCATACCATATTGAGCGAACTTTACAACCTGTTGGCTAAAAGACAGTGGTTTATATAGTTTTGAATAATTTTTTGAGAAAACTGAATTAATTAGCCTAATTTATCATTAAATAGCTACAGAATGAACAGAGTCTATAATTGCCAATTCACTGGACTGAATGAGGTATTTATAAAGTGATTTATAAAGGGCGGATGTTCTCTTGGAGTTGACAGTACACGGGCAACTGAGAGAGGCCCCTTATGACAAAGAGCAGCCTGTTCTGTTGCATTGTGCCTGACTAAATGTTTGGTGAGGGCCAGGATAAGGGCTGCAGTGCGGCTAAAGACGGGTCAGTGTGGTGGGAGTTTTATTTACATGGGCCAAGGGGCGGCTTACACAAATGATAAAAGAGTTTATAATAGAGATGGCTAGAACAGGTGCTTTGGGGAAGTTTTAAATAATTATTATCATTAACATTTTGGCTATTTCACTTTATGTACAAAAGGTGATTAGGTCTATTTATTTAGATCACGTAATGATAATAGGCAGCATCCTGAAGTTTACAGACCTATGATCCTTTTTTGCTGTTAGCATTAGCATTTTTCAAGCATTGGCTATTTAACAATCAAGTGTACTTACAATTTGTAGTCAAACTGCTGCTCTGTATGCTAAAGCGCATGCGTGAGGTGAGCACGCGGCGGCCTTGTGGCGCTCGCAGGATCCGTGTAAATTCAGAGGTATTTACGTGTACGGCACATCGTGGTACTGTGGTCATTTTATGTCATTTGAATGTTGTGTAGTTTAGTGTCTGTCCATATAGAAGTTTATAATGTCATCAAATTAAGCAAAATGCTAACGCAAACTCTTGGCTTGGAATTTATGTATTTATTTATTTATTTAATGAGACAGGGACAGCGCACAATTTTTGCATTAACCTTAACAGGAGAGATGCATTGTACCAGGTTGTAGCATCAGTGCTAATTTCCACCTTTAGTCCCTGGACAGGTTCATTGATTGATTGTATTTAACTGACCTTGTCTATCAACTGTTCTTCCTGGAGACCTATGTAGCATGTTTGCAATTTGTCCATTAAAGCTGTAAAATGGACAGCAATTTCAAGCATATCATACTGTATATATTTTGATGGGTAGTTTATAATTAGGTTATATTTATTGAGTATATATTTATGTACTATAAGTCTGGTGTGCAAGTCTGGCCTAGATGTCCTAATTCAGATGGTCCAATTACACATCAAGGGAAGAGTCTAAGACAAGGTAAACTAATGGAGCAGATGATAGGTTTAGGATTTTGGGAGAGGGAAGTACCCTGAGGGAACATGATTAGTGATGGATTAACCAGGGATCAGTGGTTGTGGGACAGGTCAGGGTGAGAAGCTCGGGGGTCCAGGAAGAGACACATGGGGGGGGCAGCTTTAATGCCTCCACCCAAGTGAGATGTAGCATGTCAGACACACGCAACATCAGCAGTGCAGGTATGTCTGCTATGTGGCCTACTGTAGCTCCATACTCTGAGAAAACAATGAGCCTTCACTTGGTCTGATTAATGCTGATGTGCTGGGGTCCCCTATGTCTGTGGTGATTAGGAAATGGACAGGTCTTAAAGTTTAAACACAGATGGGCCTTATAGGCTGATGCGAGTGTGGTTAGTTACACGGTGCTATTAGGGTTTAAAACAATGAAATATATATTTAGACTATAAACAAGTCTATTAGACAATACACTTGGATCTCACCTTTCACCCCCCTTTTCTCTCAATCTTTGTCTCATTCATGGCCCAACAGATTACCTGGCACCACTACTAGATAAAAACATGTTCCAAGGTTTGGCTACCTGCATTGTTACAAATAGGTTACATCTTGAAGATAAGTTATTCGGAATTAATTTGCTCTTGTGAG